CGTTTTCCATTGAACCCCTTTAAAAAAAAAGCCTATGTAGCCACACTTTAGTCAGTCATTACATCCCGTCCATGCATGTTGTATCATTGCTCGTCCAGATTGCCCTACATGCATCTACTCATCGCCGAAACTACTGTTATGACCAGCTGCTCATTCTCATTTCCTGTTTGTATATATTTTTTTGCATTTCTTTCGCTGTGCAAAGCGTCCATAGTGAAAGCTATCTCTTCCTGTATTACTCACACATGTACATGTATCTCCTTAACACTATCAAAACTGTATGTCACCAAATGCTGTGAAGGGAGCCAGTCACGATAGGAGTTTTTTTCCTGTGATTATAAATTTCTGCAAGTATTTCAACACCCGAAGATGTCTTTACCCGTGAATAAGCATGCAGGCTGTACTGTGCATGTATGGAATGGAGTGTGGATGAAACATGAGGACGCTTCATGTTCTTGCCAAGTTGTTATCCTCTTTTGTATTGAAAAGTAGGGAGGACAACATTCACCCGTCAGTTCTGACATCAGAATCAATGTTGCTTGTTGTTTCAAAACAGAAGCCCCTCTCTGGTCTTTAATCCAGTTATGACCCCCACTCTGGTGCACATTCAGAACAGGTTGCGGAGTGCTCAGTGCATTGCAAAAATCTAAAAAAAAAAATCAACAGGGGAACACTGCTAATGTGACAGCCCCCCCCTTACAGACTTGTGATTAAATTCACACGTGATAAAATCAGAGGTGTTGGTATGTGTGAATCAGATACCCACAGTGTCTGAAAGGGAAAAAAAACTGGTTAAATTGCTGCTAATTCTACAATTATGAGTAAATGCGTCGGAAATGAAAGATCTTCCGCATCGGTTTTCAGGAAATAGGGTGTCAAATTTTCAGTTTCTGATTTGGGAATGAGTTCACTGGCAGCTACTCATTAATGTGAGAAATATAACCCAATTACGTTGCTGCAAAAAGGGTGAAACGCTCTGGTAAGAAACTTGTACAATTTGCCTGCTGTAGATACATGAATATGTCAGCGTTGGCTGGAGAATAATCAGCTTAATTACATGTATGTGACTGATGTGGGATTATGGAAGCCCGAAAGGGTCTACAAAATGCGTTTCTCCTCAGCCCTTGAGGCATCTTTGTGGCTCTGTTAACCCCACCCATTTTTGTTTTCTCGGTTTTTATGCCAGGGAGATTTCCATATTTTCCGAGCAAAACTGTGATGCCATCACTGAAAGAAAACCTCAGCGTTGACTTGATCTGTGCGCACAGAAAAAAAAACAGGAGATTTTCCTGGGCTAGATTTTTCTTTGACTCTGCTGAGTTAGCGTGTAAATACATGGCAGTTAAACTAGAAGGCAACCATTTCTCATTGAGCAAATTATGGTTTCACAATTATTTTCTTAGAAAAAACCTGTGACATGCAAAGTACCTTCTCTGGTTGACGTGGCAGTGAGAGCGCCCTCAATTGTCCAGAAAAGCACAGATAATTTTACATGTTTAACAAAGTGCACTTTTTAAAACACGCTACGCAAAAGGGATGATGTTAAATAGTTTTCGCAAAGAGGGGAGTAAGTTGTACAAAAAACGTGTTGGAAAAATTCCTCTCCAAGACCCTTTAAATTGTTTTGAGTGGTGTCATGCTTAAGGTTTAGTTTCATTAGATTTACGGTAGAAGTGTCCCAGTTTACCCTGTTCATAGAAACAATTGTATTTGGTGCTGTTCCAGCCAAAGGGCTTATTGTGGTTATGTGCTACTCAAAAAAGTTAAGGACCCCTTTTTTCTTAACCCTAACCCCCCCCCAAGGTTTGCTGGCTCTAACCTTCCCCATTCACAAAAGTTAAACACCTATATGGGACTTTGCGCACAGAGGCTGTTGGACTTTGATTTTCTGAGTTATGCCAAACCCAATGCAAAAGCCAGCTGTTATGGGCCTACCAGGCGTATCCCCACAGAATTAAACACTTTACTATTTAATTCTGTGTGGTTGGGGAAGGTTAGGGTTAAGTTGTATTTTTTTTTCCAAGCAATGAGTGAGGTCTAGTTCTTTCATTTTCTGTTTGTCCAGATGGTGTCATCATTCAGCCAATCAATCAAGCAACATGTATTTCCATTGGAGTAAAACGTTTGAAAAAAAATGTTTCAGAACATCAAAGGCACATTTTCAGCTGTAAAATATCTCGTGTAAAAAAGTACACACAAAATAAAAAGTGCTCCTTAACTTCTTTTGAGAAGTGTACATGTAGTTCGTTGATTTGTCTGCCATTGTAGTTTTTGGTTTGTCGATCAATGCTCAAAGCACCTGTTTTCATTACAGAGCAGCTGTGGAATTTATTGTGTGAGCCTGATGGTTAGAAAAATAGGAACGTTTAGTCTGTGACCAATGGAACCAATATGGTCAGAATTTCTGATTGTATTTGGGACACTGACACAGAACAAAGGTTGTGAAACTTCAAAGTTTCATTATTCGTTGTTAGTTTGGAGTTTAGGAGCTCATGTATGTACGTATTGTTTTCAGATGTTTTGCGTGGGAAGCTTTCTTCAGTTTCCTTTTTTGGACAAGCTGGATAACCATGCATACATGTACATTGTAACTCTCTGACGAGGAAAAACCAACGTTGGTGTACATGTATGTACAGTGTACTTGTACATGTACATTCCCACTATGAAGCGTGCATTGGGCGTGTTCGCCATTTGGCAAGTGCGTGCTAAAATGAATTACTTTGTAAGTTATTCAAGAGCATCAGTATTTGCACATGACTTCATCCCTATTACTGTGGCTGTACAGCAACTCACACATACCGAACATGTTTGAATGCAGGCGAGGTCAGGTGTTCTGTTCTTTAACGACCTTGAATGTCTGTAATTTCCAAACTGCTTCATCGTACCTGTGGTACAAAACCAGAAACATTTTGTCATTTTGAAAAAAAACAAAATTCTCGGGATATCCTTATGGGCTTGTCATGCTGGATGGGAGATGAATAGTTGAACGAGCACAAAACTGAATGTGGTCAAAATAGGGGAATTTGGGAATTTGTAACCACTTCTTTCCTGGCGTTGTTTCTTTGCAGGTGTGATTCTATACATCTTACTAGTTGGGTACCCTCCCTTCTGGGATGAAGACCAACACAGATTGTACTCACAAATCAAGGCTGGATCCTATGATGTGAGTCGGGAAACCACACTGATTTCTGTAGCTTTGAAATCAAGTAGAATTCAATCTCTCCCCCTTCCGCCCTACTTCTGCCAGAGTTAGTTTAGCTTGAGGGTTGATTGAAGAATGCATTTTACATAGTTTGAGCTTCCTACCAAAGCCTACTGACTGGCACATGAAGATGGGTCTGGATATTAAAGCATGTCTGGTTTCAAGTTGGTATTTCATGTGGTCTGACATTTTGCGTGGATAACATGAAAGGCCTTTTCATACTTCAGCCTCTCAGCCTGGTTGAACTCAACCCTTGGCGAAACCCTGACCGCCCTGGGTTGAAATTTGTGGATTTTTCAACGCCGCATTCAACGCGGCATTGTTTCACACTTGTTTTGTGCAAACCAAGCTTATCGGGTCGAGTTCAAACCCAGAAATGAGAACGAAAAATTTTCAACCCAGGTTGGATTGAGTTCAGCTGTGATTGAATTCAGTCTCGGGGTTGATGCAGGGTTGGTGAGGGGGTGAAAATGTTCAAGTGTAAATTGTCACCAGAATTCAACCTTGCGTCAGCCCTGAGATTTATCAAGTGTGAAAAGGCCATGGGCCGAAGAGGATAAAAGCCTTTAAGTTGAACTCAAGTCACTTTTAAGTTGAACCTCAAGTCTGTCTACCTGACAGATAAGGGGCCCTGTTGCCACAGCTGGTCCATAGTCGCAGTTGGGGATGCTTTCCATACTGGTGCACATTTGCTGCGTTATGTGCAGTTTTTACACAAAGAAAGGCTCAGAAAAGTGGTCTTCTCGTTACCAACCTCATTACTACTGTATCTGAAATTCAGGAGAACATTTTTTCAAAAAATAAAAGTTAGAAGTAAATGGCAGTGCCAGTACATTTATTTCCTCATTCAGGATTTGGAAAGCCCAGTTTTGTTTGTGAGTTACAAATAATATTGAGGTTGGTAACAGTGTAGCCAGTTTTCCTTTGTGCATGGAATTGCCACTGTCCAATGTTTTGCGCTTCGTACCTCCATGAAATTGGTATGGAGGGCTTAATGAAAGAGAAACGCTTTAATGTCACATGAAGCCAAGTTTGGCCTCTCCAGTCAGCACAGTTTCTCTCCTGAACATTAAGTAGTTTCACAGCATCAAAGGAATCCCATTTTTTTGTTTTCGGCAGTACCCTTCCCCAGAGTGGGACACGGTCACGACCGAGGCCAAGCAACTTATTGATAGCATGCTAACTGTCAATCCAGCTAAGCGGATAACAGCCTGCGAAGCCCTGAAGCATGCCTGGATCAGCGTAAGTCTGTTTTTCTCCATTACGTGAAATATTGCCCTAAACAGTGCTGTTGCACTGACATGTTTGCCTACCCTTCTAAAGGCTAGTTCGTTCTTGGGGCTCCAGCAAACACGAACGCGAAATTGTGACATCGGATCAGATAGTTAGATTGTACTGCGGATTCACCGGAGTTGAACCCGTGTCAACTCATGCAAACTTTAGTTCAACTATTTCTTGATATCAGCTTCTCTTTGCGCACGCATCTGCCTGAAATTTGGAAATATGCCTTCTGTAGTACGAGTCTCATGTGGGAAGACCAGAAATTTTGTATTTACTGTTGTGGAGTACCAAAGTGTGCCATCATTTGAACCAAAAAGTGTAGTGTAAACAAATATGTGCTTGTGTTGGTTACACGCTGGCTCTCGCGCTAATAGTATAATTGGGCTAATAAATTACATAAAAGTGGACGTGACATATCTACTTAAGTACTCTAGATACGATCTGCTCTGTCTATGTGTGTGTCACGATCATACATGTATTTTGCTCACACGTGGCTGGTAAAACTATGGCCAGCCATCAATGCAAAAGTAAGAAAAAAGATTCACTAAGTGTTATAAAATCTCATTCAGCTATCGAAACACAAAATACAACAAAATGAAAACATGACGCTTGTTAATACATGTAGGGCAAATGCATATTTCGAAGTCAAATCTGGCTTGACCAACCAAGGGCGATGTTTCTGCAAACTTCGGTTGCCTCTACCATGGGAACAGTAGGCAGTGTGTCTTTGTCAATTTGTGGATACTTTTGATAATATTTGACACTGGAAGTGATCCTTGATTGGTTTTTGTTTAGAACTCGGAGCATGTAGCATCGGGCATGCACAGACAGGAAACTGTTGACTGCTTGAAGAAATTCAATGCTCGGCGCAAACTCAAGGTAAGGAAATCCAGACCAAGCTCAGTGCTGTGGCCTCCTGGCCTTGTACCTTGAGTTGAGGACTGTGCAGTAGATGCCTCAAGGTTGCCGGTTCGAGACCAGCCTGTGAGCTTGTGGCATTGTGTCCATAGGCAAGACGCTTTGTCACAAGTTGGTTTGTAACCTCTCATGAGTGTTTGCAAACGGGGAGCGGAGTCTTGGTTTGGATAATTGCCAACTTAAAGGCGCAGGTGGTTGAATGGCACAAGGGAATGCCCAACTATGAACGCTCAAGTCTCTCTGCTGTCAAATTACGAAGTGGCATGGTGTCCAAAGGCAAGACACTTTGCCGTACGTTGAATCCTATCCACTCATGGAAACGTGGAGCAGGTTTGGCTCAGATGACTGCCAACATGAAGGAAGATTCTGTCGGTAGTAGGACACCAGTAATGCATGCCCCCATATGAAAGTGTAAATCTGACCATTGTCAACTTGTTGCATTGTGTCCTTAGGCAGGACAGTTTGTCATGAATCTTCCTCTCACTTACGAATGACAGTGTTGGCTTGGATGTCTGCCAACGTGAGAAAAGGCTTAGTCAGTAATAAGACACCATTGAGGCGTACCCAAGTACACGCATGACGGTTTTCCAATGTGGTTGAATAAGTCCAAGTCTGAATTTAACTGGCTGCAACAAGAAATACTATGCATACATGTATCTATGGAAAGCCACACACGACATCTGTAGCCAAAGTTGTGACTTCGGAACGCAGCCACATTTTGTTGAGTTGTGGGGTTCCAACGGTCATGGCAAATCATAAAAAATACTGTAAAAAAATTGTCCTGAAGAGTCATGGAAAGGTTTTTTTGGGGGGAGGGTATCCTGGAGTCATGTTGTCAGATGAAAAAAAGTCCTGGAAATCAAATCATTACAGCCTTATATTTAATGGGCTTCTTTTGATGCAATAACAGAATAATGATAATTTTACAGGCGCTCCTCGTCAGTTAGTTAGTGGCTATGACAGTCTTTAGTGCATTATACCAACCACCTTTTCTGTGTGAAATGGCATTGGGTGTCTGGAAACCATTATACATTTATTTTAGTCCTGGAAAATACTGGAAATTTCATGGAATTTGACTGTCATATTTCCGCGGGAGTCCCGGCGAGTGAAAAAGTGATTGAACGCACACTTGGTCAGTACCCTGTTTTAATTTATTTGGTGTTTGGAAAGTCCCACAGGGCGTAAACAGTGACATGAGTGAAGTAAGTTTTGGATTCGTTCACAGGGAGCCATTTTGACAACTATGCTGGCCACCAGGAACTTTTCCAGTAAGTACTCGAAACGTTTATTCTCTTTTATTTATCAAAGCAGTATATTATTTAGTAAGCCTAGAACAATCGCCAAGCTCTGTTGAGCTACCTCTAATGACACTAGCCTGGCAAGTCACATTTTGTATAAAGAAAGCATCATTTGCCATTTTATTGTCAACTATCAACCGGGTGTATTCCAGTGAATATTTTGATATCCGGTGTGAATAGACCGTATTCATGGCGTCCCCAATTTCAGTCATCTTCTCCAACGTAGTGTATTTATTGGAAAACGTTAAATTCAACGAACCAGACTATATTCTACAATTTCATTCTGACCCCCCAAAAAACCTGGTACCATCCCATTACGGGTTTAAAATTAATACTGTACATTCAGGAATACGACTGAAATTGGGGACGCCGCAAATACGGTCTATTAACCAGTGCAAGTTAAATTTGAATAAAATTTGGTGCACGGAGTTATCTGACTGCACATAAACATTACGATTTAAAATCCCCAGACTAAACACACTGTTGCTATACCTCGTGATTCAGGGCAAGCTTTCGCATAGCGACCACCATCTCTGGAATGGACTGGTTCCTTTGTACCCTTCTTATCCATTGAGAACAGTGTATTGTTGCAAGGCATCTCTTATGTAACTAAGCAAAAGCTTGCCCTGAATCATGAGGTATAGCAACAGTGGTTTAAGTAAGGAGAATTCAAATTGTTATGTTCACGTGAATTTAAAGAACTCAGTGTACCAGATTTGGGTCAAAGTTAATTTGCAAAAGGCTTATTGTGTTGGGCAGATGAAGTATTGTTCAGTTATAAAGGAGAAAAATCAAACATTCAAGACAATATGGGGCATATTTTCAAATCAAAGGCATGATTTGCCCGTTTTGTTTTGTTTTAGAAAAAAATTGGAAACTGTAGTCATTACACTGTGGAACTTCTCAAGTTGGATCATTGCGTTGAATAGACACAGTTTTCTGTTCGTTCAAAACGGCAAACGGTTCATTAACACATGAGTTGTGTTCTCCCTGATTGACCCCAGAGATATCCTCAACAACCGTGAAAAATGCTATGTCTCGTAAGTACGGGTCCACGACACAAAACATGAGATCACTTGGATATGCCCGCCTGCATTACTAAACTAAACAAAAAACCCCAAAACATCAGTGAGGGTCAGTTCAGTCTTATGATTTCCTGAGATTGTGACCTTGGGAGGTGTGTCAAAAACTTCGGGGAGGGGTCTAGTCAGCCCAGTATGAAAGCAACATGTTTATCACTTGTTCCTCTTACAGTTTCTATATCGGAACGCTTTTGATCTTTTAGATAAATGTAGAGGGCTCAGAAATGAGGAGGCCATGCTGTTTCTATTATAGGAAAAATTTGGTCTTTACCTTGTCTTCCAGTGCTTGCATTGCTAATTGCCATGGCAACCCAACTTCCCAATCTCATCTTTCATGTCGGGATTTCTTGTTCACCTTCAGTTGGTAGTTTTGCTTTAAATAATGCCATTTGATACAGTGCCAACTGATTTGCAATCTCAAGACAGGGACAACGCAATGTTTGTCCAACAGGTGCTCAATGTGCGAGCGCTTGAAGTTTGAGAATAAGTGTGAAACAAAACTTAATGTACATGCAGCTCCCAATTTTTTGGGGGGGTGGGGGGTGCTTTTTTTGTCTCTCACGAAAACCTGATCACCCAGATCTCTTCCTGGCTTCCCCCCCAAAAACTGCCAAGTCCTCCCCCTCCCATGGTTCACAGATTTCTCTGAGTGAGACTGAACTGCCCTTTGACCTCTCATGACCTAGTGTTTGACTTGTCATGACCTTTGTGCCCGTGCCGTAGATATTTGCAAGTTTGTTAGCGGAGTTCATTTTCATTTCAACTTGACTGCCACGTGAAATGCTGTGTCGTTGATAATACCCATTCCGTCTTGATTTGTGACTACATCTGACCTCCCCTTAAAAAAAAAAAAAGAAAAAAAGGCAAAGCCAGAGTTGGACAAAATGATGAAAAACGAGTTCGGTTTCCAAACTGATTTGCACCGAGTACACAACCAGCTTGTCAAAAAAACTGCAGTAAAGCCACGTGTACTTTGATAGAAGTCACTGGTGTACCCTTGGTGATTTTTTCTGAACGACAACGTGTACAGTGTACCTCTGTTGCCCGTGCATTTCTGAATGTGCAACCCACAGGTTTCCTACAGTTTTCTGATAAATGTGTATATTATTCATATTTCCTGTTATATAAACCCAAAAAAATTTGCTCAAGAAAAGAAAAAAAAGTTGCGAATTTGTACTTCAAAGCCATGATAGTTACATGCACTCTCCTGAAACCTAACTCTCGTTTTTTTCAAAATTTTTTGGTCAACTTTGGCTACAACTTTTGTTTTCAGGCCTTTAATTTGATCTTGCCTTCAAGTATTTAAAGACAGAGAGAAACTTGCAGAGTGCAATTTGCCTCGGTAGTTCGTGGGTTGAGGATTTATAGAACATGCCTAAAATGCAGAACTCAAAAGGACGGTGACCGTTGCTTTCCAGCTTCACCGCTTGGCTTTATTTGTATCTGCATAACAAAAGGTGGAAGCATTGCCAATAAGAAACATTTCACAGAACATAGATGAACTGATGAGCTGGAGTAAACGATCATGTTACAGACATTTTTTTTCAGAGGCATTGGGCATTGTATATTTGGGTAGCAGATACTAGATGCCTTTTTGGACTGTGTTGTTTTTTTTTATTGCGACAGAGGCAATGAGGTGTCAACCACAAGTTTATTTATTTTTATTGGAAAAAGTTTTGCTCCCCCGAATTGAGGAGAGGGCATCAACTGAGTAAAAGATCAGTTGCCAACAGTAGGTTTTATGGTTCTGGAACATGCTTGGTTCCCAAGAGAACAAAACAAGAGGAACTGAAGTGTCAGGTATTTTCTGATGTTGCCATTTAATCTTTTGATGAATTTCTCCTTAGAGTTTTCAAGCTGCAGAAGCCACTGAGGAAAAAAAAATACTATTTAAAGTTTTCCCTTGAAAAACAAAATGTATTGAATAAATGATGTATTTTTTTCATTTTTCCCCTTTTCCTTTCATAATCATCCCACCCTCGTGACCCAACCTACAAAATGAGAGAATGGTCCAGTAAGAATCACATTTTGATTTCTCATGGTTGATATTTTTTTTTAACTTTCACTGGGAAATATTGCTTTTTATTTTATTATATTTTTTTGGTTTCTTTTTGTTTTCCATTCCTTACGTTCCTGTCGCTCTCCTTCTTTTTCGCATTTCTTGAACCTGTCTTGACCTCTCGTTGCTACCGTTCCTTTTTCTGCGGGTCTGAGCCACAAGAACCAAAGCCAAGGTTAGGGGGTTTGATGACCACTAACAGATTGCCCGTCCTAATTCCAAATTAATTTGCATCCTGCACGACAGTAGAAAAAAAAAACTACGTAGAGTATTTTTAGTTTTGTTGACATTTTTTTTAATGGGTGGTCTCAACTGCAGCCATCATTTCAGAGACTGTTTTTGCCTTGTACTCCGGATGCTGTGAATCAAATTCTGTATGTTGGTGGTAGGGGACCCTGACTGAGATTGCTGCAGTGTTGAAAGACTTGGATGATAATAATTGGTAATATTTTAACAGAAAGAAGGATTGGGTGATACTTTTTGAGTTTGCGTCGTTGAAAATATGACTTTTCATTTGTTAACGTAAATTAGAACTCAAAAATACGATTATTTTGTTGTGGGCTGATACAATGATGCAAGAATAAATAAAGTAGCACATGTTTATGTATGTCTTTTTTACAAAGGTTGTCGTTGAGTCTAATAAAGTCATTTCAAACTCAGTGTTTCATCAACGGCAAAGCATTTTAAAGGTGTACTTTACGTTGATGCTTACTCAGATTTTTTTCACATCGGATTCCCAAGAAATTTGAGCAGAGCTTGACTATCGTTGGACGGGCGGCAAGAGCATTTGTTGAAATATTCATAAATGACGACTCACGACAAATGGGCACACTCAGTTTGCACCTTGTGATTTGAGTTTAACCACAAAACTAACGGTAGATTGGCAGGCTCTTGACTTGTGTGCGGCTTACCAGAGAGAGCTTGCGGAACCCTTAAATGACTCATTGATAGCTTGATTGCAGTTCCGACTATAACATCGGATAGACAACGTTCTGTCTTTTCCCTGACGTTGTAATCCCAGCAGGCTCTGTGCAAAGTGTAATAACAGAGGTGCTCATGAAATCGTGCAAATCTGAATTTGTGTCAAAGATTTTATGCATTGGACTGGTTTGGGTTTGGTAATCGTAGAGGCCAAGATCATTCCATGGACCAGATCAGATGTTTTGTGTTCATTGCCATGAGGGAAACCAATGAGAAACAGTGATAATTGTCAAAAGTTGAAATTCAGCTGTCGTAATTTTTTCGTTCTTTTTTTTCGCAGAAACATGCACACTATGTATATTCGTTGAGAACTGAATACTGCATATGCTGCATCCATTATGGTACCGTGCCCGTTGATGCATGTCCTCAAGATATTTGTTGATTCAGTGAATTTTTTTGGGGGGGTCCATATGATCCTTGCAGAAAAAGGCAAAAATTCATGTTTTTTTGAAAGGAACAGCTTTCCCAGCATATTAGTTCCTTCCACAGCATTGATACTGTCAGCACACCAGCTTTCAAATATGTAACCTTTCAAAATCAATCAGGGAGGCTATTTTCTGTTTATTCAGAATGGTGTGCACATGTGGCCTTTGATTTCAGGTCATTTTTGTCAGATGTGAATTGTTGCCCTTCTGTGGCAGGATGACAATGCAACCTCTCCTTGTCACGTTTTGCATAGCAGCCACCCAAAATATAGTGTCACTGAACGAGCAGATGATGCATGCCTTATAATGAAATGGTTCAATACAATACTCTGCCGTACCTCCGGATGCCTTTGGTCAGTCCGTAGTTTAAGATGCTGAATGTACAAGAGGTGTAGGGTGTGATGTGCACGTCTTCCGTCAACTCTGCACGGGTGTCGTTTGGGTACAGACTCACATACGAGATCAGGTGATCTCAAATGATGTACAACTCAGAGTTTCAGTTCGAAAATGTGATGAAGAGTGACGGTGAATCGGTCACATGTACATACATTCGAGCACGAATGTTCAATTAAGAAAAAGTTTTCTCGGTGTGGAAGGTTAGTTCCAATTTGTCTTGATTGGAAGGAATAAGTTGGATCTTTGTTAGAAAATATGAAGCATGGATAAAAAGTCGTGTTCAATCAGATATTGCTGGTTAGAGGTGTTTATTCCCTAATAGGATTAAGAGGGGTCAGAGGTTGAAAGTTAAGAAAATTAGGGTACAGCCCCCTTCGTTCCCCCCCAAAATACCTCGCCAGGGACCAGTAATATTAGATCTCTCACCTACTAGGACAGCCTCCTAATGCAGAGCTTTCCAGTTCAGTTTTAGCCAGTCAGATCCCAGATACATGTACTAGGCTTGTCTCTTTCTTTTGACCACTTTTATTTGCTAATGAAAAGTAGTACCTCAGAGCCAAAAGTATAAACAAAAAGTGCTGTTCAAACTTTTGAAGAACATTCCATGTCACCTCAACTGGTTTACGGGTATCAACTCTTAAATTATCGTTAGCCACCCGTTGTGACCAAAAAAATTGAGTATTTCTTTTTTGACAGCCTGTTGGTGAATACACATCGATTGGTCAAATCTTATACATGTATGCCAGATTTTAGATCTCAGATTCTTTTCGCCCTGTTTTTCTCTGCATTTTCTGAATGACTTTAAGATTGCTCATTTTCGGCTTTTTTGGCTTTCTCTTTGGACTGTTTTCACTTTGGACTGCTTTTTCTATGCTTTATTGTTTTCCAAGATGAAACCGGTATGCGCCATGTTCAGATCAATTCGATGGCGTATTTGGGTACCTTGTACAAAAGCTCCAGTGATTTTGAAACTTTTTCTCAAACGTTTTGAACATTTGTTTAAAGTGTTCTTGAATTCATTGTCAAGCATGCTCGCTCTTGCAGCCAAATCCGTTGGTGAAATTATTCTCAACTATTGGAGTGTCATTTTCCAGAACAATCCTCTCATCTCATTAATGAATGGTACTGTCTCCTTGAATGATTAAGAAAGATCAGAGGTTTCTAAAATCAACTTTGCATATACAGACCTAATGCTTGAACAAATATATGCCTAGGCGACTCCGGTTTTACAGGGCACTGATGTGCACAGTATTTGCCACCGTTTACCAACTTTCCCATGGCTCGCCTGTCATTTCCTTGTCCATTTATAAAAATTCTGTGAGACATTTTGTCAAGTGAAGCCTTCTATCAAGTGATGGCATTCCGCATCCCTGCCCTGTGTAGCCGCTGTTGATTCGTGACGACGCATATTTGGACTTATTGTGTAGATACTGTGCCGTGTCATTGATGTTTTCCGGTGTTTTTTTTCTTCTCTCCCAATCCTCCCTCCCCCTTGCTCCGCCCACAACCTGCCCTTCGCTTCTGATCTTTGTTCTCTCGGCATTTTGCTCTGTGTTTCACCCCCTTTCCTCCAACTTGTTTTTTTTTCCCTGTGATTTTGTTTGTCCATTTTTTTCCTCCCATTTCTTTCATTCCTCCTCATCCTTTCCATCTCTTTTGGTATTGTCATCCATTGTTTTGCATCCATCGTCTTAATTTCATTGCATTTTTCCTTGTCATACCTTTTTCTTTCAATTGTTTTGGCATCTGTCTTATCAATGACCCATTACCATTGTGCCTGTTTTCCCTCTTGCTTCGTCTTGACTTTCGCCAATTTTCTCTGTCCTTCCCATTCATTGTCTATACCTGACGTGCCTATTTTTTTCTGTTCCTTAATCGTCCATCATTTCTGCATCTGTATGACGGTTGCACTTCTCACTAATCCCGCTGTTGCTTTGTCTCCTGTCCTTGCTCTGTTCTAACATTTTATTTTCTCGTGTTGTCTCCACAATCACCACTTTTCCCCACAACTTTCACTCCTGTCATTCCAATGTTTAATGTTGTTTTTTCCTCTTCCTCTATTATCTACTTTGCTGTCGTCTTTACAACTTTTGTCCACCTCTCGCCACTTCAACATTTTGTCCTCCTTTCTTTGCTTCTATTCTGCCCTGTTTTCAATCTTTATCCCTTGTCCTCTCTCCCTCCCCCATGTTTTCCTGATCCTCTCCTTTTTTTCTCGTTTGCATCCTAGGCTCTCCGCAAACGAAATCAGGTTAGCCTCTCTCCGTAGTTGTCTTCTGATTTTTTTTGGGGAGGGGGTTGTTTTTCCTTTTGTCTGGCATGCAGATTGCTGTCTTTTGTGCTGCTGCTGTTTTCAAAATGAGACATTGCAGTCATCGACGTCCTTCACAGTATGGTCACCTAGGATTGAAATCCTGAAACATGGTGCCTCTGATAAGTTTCTGACCGAAGTTAATGTCAGTGGGCCCTTTGGGAGCTAGTTCGTGACGGCGCAGAATTCGTATCTGGTTCAAAAGGAGGCTGGTGCCCGTGACATGATGAGGGTCCCAGTGATGGGGAATTATACTGTTGGGAACTAGTCCAAGATGGCCGTGGTGTGATGAGACAGTAGGACTTATACTGACACACTGTCATGACTGCAATGGCTGATCAGTTTGTGTCCATGCTGTTCGTTGTGATTGTGGTGACTACACATACTTAAAAACAACACTCGACCTTTGACATCTCAAGCAGCGGCCATTTTGCCATGATCTGTTTCAGAGTCCAACCAGAGCTTGACCCACAGTGTTATTTTCTTGACATGCATATTTAATGAACTTAACTTTGGCTGAAACCATCTTTCTTTTAATCAATCAATGTACAGTTCCATGCAGTCTTAATAATCCAAATATGCCACATGTAATTCTGGAGCCTATATCTGACATGCACAGTGCATTTTATTTGTCAATCATTGCTCAGTGAATGCTTAATAATTGCATGTTGTTCCTTTGATGTTATTACGAGGCCAGCTGCTTGAGACTGTTCACAGCATTAACTGCACCTGCTGCATATAAAGTGTGACTCGGTGTTGTGGTAATTGTGTAACTCAAACTCAGACTTGAACTGAGAGTTCTCTTGTCTGCTCACTCGTGCTCATCAAAGTATACTGGAGGGTTGTCAGATTTCATATCGGTATTCATACTCGCACTCGTTTGTGAGTTGAATTTTTCTGTTTCTGTTCTCATAACAAAAAGTACTCAGCTACAGCACTGTGGTGACATTAATGGACTCGATTTTGTTGAGTGACATCTTGTAACAGAGTTGTGCAACGTTTGTAGAGGTGCCACCATCACTCGTCCAGTCACTTTGCACTGTGCCCCTAAGAAACTCAAAATCCTGTGTCTTACATTTTCAAGAGCTGTGCACTGTTCATCTGGATATTGTTGAAATTAATGTCTTAAGTTGACTAACCCAGTGGACGCTGGCAATGTAAGGTGTTATACCCTTTTATTTTCCTTTGAAGGGGATCTTGTAGTTGGGATGTGACCCCGTTATGAAAAGGCTGTTTGGACAATTTGGAATTACAGCAGCCTGCTAGAAATGTAACATGAAAACTGCTTAAGTTTCGAAAAGAAGTCAAAAACTTTGGGGAAAAGTAGTGAAAATCTAGTGCACAGTTTATTCATGGTAACGGTCAATTTTGTTGATTGGTAGCAGCAATGTGACTTGTAGAAAGTGATTGAATTACCGTCTGCTGAAATCTTAAGCCCCTAAACTTTGGAGAGTGGAAAACATGTTCACTCAATCAATTGACCCTTTTCTTGATTTCTACTTCAAATGTGAATGTAACCTGATGGGCCTTTAGGAAATGTATCAACCAATTTAATCAACACAGGTTTCTTTAGATCAATTATAACTGATACCGTCTTTTAATTTCAAATTAATCCTGAACTAAGCTAATGCCTTTTCAGGGGCCCAGTTTTGTTGCTTTATAAACCTTGAAGCTGATGATCTCTGCTAAGCACAGCAGAAAATTCAATGCTATTAACGATAAGCATATTTCTCAGTCAGTAGGAAAGGTTGGCCTAGGCACAGGCTAACGACCCTTAACTGACAATTTTGGTAAACACTGAATGGTTATTTCTAGAGTATATTTTTGTTTTAAATAGCAGAATCCTGAAAATTTTCTCAGGAGTCGAGCCCCCTTTTTTTCTTCAAATTGTTTTTGCAATAACAGTAGAGTTTCAGCTTGTAGCCTTGTGCACAAAGGAGCAGAAAGGACTTTCAAAAGTTACAAAGAGTAAAGTTTTTTTTGTGGCAGTAATTGACGTCGCTTGGAAAATAATTTGGTACAAAATAATTACAATATTTTGACCTGTTGGATTGTCACTTTCCATTCTCTTTTGAACTCTGTGAAAAGAAGAAATTCCAAAAATTGAGGACTGATGGAGAAAGGAAGAAAAATAAGTTTTATGCACAAATAGTCAGTTTTGGTTAGTCCTTAAGCCCTTACTGTTCTTACTGGTAAAAAATAGGGATATCCAGAAGGGAACGCTTTTTTAACCCAATTGACATGTGGTATGAATTAAATACATTAATGATTATGCAGATTTTAATCACTAAAATTTGATCGGGTTGATTGCAGGATTCAGTCCAAAGTAAAGCAAATAGGGTTTGGTTTCTCAGTAGTCCACAGTTTATTTTCCCTGACAAAGCCAAAACCGTTGGGATACCTGAATGCCGTTGCCATTATTTCACATCCCCTCCCAAATCAGTTGCATTGTGGGAATGCGTATTGCAAGTTTGTGCACATTGTGTTGAAATTTAGTTGTGCACTTCCATGAGTTGGTTGCACAATGGCATCCATAGCACTTGCACAAATTCCAGGTACCTGGCTATGGAGGAGGAGGGTCACGGTGGGAGGGGAGACAAAGACAAAACTAACACCCCACCTTTGTTTTTAAGTAATGGTAGGGAGTTCTGTATCCATTAAAATCCATTGAAATCTTATGGAAATCCAGTACGGTCTTCGATTTCTATAGGTTTGGCTCTGTTGGAGCTGTTGGAACTGTAACAAATTAGCTATGGCTCAACTTATATTTCTCACTGCTGTGTTGTTCAACTGATTCTTTAGCGTAAAACATGCATTTTGTTTAACCTAACAAAATTAACATACCTACCACTTTTCAAGTTTTTAATTATAAATTGGGCAGTTGGAGATGATCATTTGCATTGGCTGGCTGCCGCATCACATGCATGTATAGGCGTGTGCAGATGCATGGAATTCGGTCGTCGAGTAGTTTTTATGTTTTTATTTTAAAGCCGACGCCCTTTCCACAGTACCAGGAAGCTTTTCAATGACGCCTCGAGGTTGAGGTCGTCCGGTGCCCAATGTCGAAAAAGACCGAAGACACAAGTGAAGAATGGAAAGCAAATGGAGACATTTGGTGCATGTTGACTAAAAAAAACACTGAAGGACGAAATTGTGGCTCATTCCTCCCCTTTTGGCTTTTGATCTGGATGCCAAGCACCCCACGCATGCTCGTCTCTCTCTCTCTTTCCGCTCTCCATCTGCTACTTTGCTCCGCCATCCTCTCTTCTTCATCCTCATTATTTGTCTCCATTTTCTTGAGCTTGCCCGACGTTTTAATTTCCGTGTGGCCGTGTGTGACGAACCCTTAACTTTTGCATGTGTGAACAAATTTCCATGTTGTTAATGGTGCTGTGTTTTTAATATTGATAGTCCAGGTTTTTATTTGTGTTTAACATTTAAGCTCGACTTTGTATTTCTTTTTGCCTGGGGTAACGAGGTTATCACAGACTTCAGGTTTTTCCACAAATTTTTTTTTGGGGGGGGCATAGGGGTCGGGTGGAATAACTATTAACAAGAATGTGTAACATTTCGACTTAACACACGGTAACACGTAGACAGTCTTTTACATGTTGCTCAGTCACGGCTCAGATATCATTTCATTATGCATTACTTTAAAATCTCGTCTCCTGCACAAGTGTTAGTAACTAACCATGGAAATCCCAGTCTTACATTATCCGGTCACTGTGGCGAAAACGGTTGGATTTGGGGAGTCTTGGCTCCAATTTGTGGTGACAGATTCCTTGTACATTTAAAGTTTTGAGCTTGTTTGAAAGTCAGGAGTGCCAATCATGAGATCTGTAGTTACACCAATGAAACGACTTAAAAGTACCCTTGTTCGAGAAGCAAACTGAAGAGTTCAGAATGTACATTTCCAAGATTTTAAATTTTGAAAAATGAAATGATTTAAAAGATGAGATTACATGTAAGTTGAGAGATGAGGTTTTAAGCCACTTGTAAAATGCAAATCATCCCCCAGTAGCCCTTATACATTAGGAGAAAGAGGTGGAACTTTACAAAGTATGTTAAGCGCTATTTTGTGTGGTTCATTTTGGAAATCATCTTACCATCATAGACAAATCACACTGATATAATTTGACCGTTGTAGTTGCGCATCAAACAGCCGTCTGTAACCCATTCCCAACTCATAGTTGGCATTTAGTTCTCGGAGCATGCCTTGTTTTTGTACACAAGACAGAACTTCCAGATTTTCCCCTGTGTGTTTTTTTTCTTTTTACCCACTGGTATTAGAATGTCCTAGAAAAAAAATGTCCTGTTGCATGCTGGGAAAATATGGAAATGCAGTGACCAGCAAAAATAATTATTTGAGATAACTGGCAGTCTACAGACTATTTCGTGATCGTGATTTTGTCCAAAATATTTTGAATCTTGTTTCAACATACTTAAATTTTTACTGACTGTCCTTACAATTATTACGCTTGACACGTGCACTTGAAAAATAATAGATATTTGTGCTATGGAAACACTTGATACGATTTATTATTCTGAGAATAATGTCATTTCGCATTTACTTTATCAAAATTTGCATGAACATTTCTGACTTAGTATGCCAAGCAGATGATAACAAACCAATCATTATTTTATGACCTAGAGAAAGATCAAAGAATAAAGTATTCGTTGAAATTATTTTTACTGGTCATATTCCTGTCAGTTGCCTCTATTCAGTTTGGAAATCCTCACACGGGGGAGGGAATTGTTTTGGGACGTGGACTAGTCGGTTTCCGGCGGGCCATCTCTGTTCTTTCATCGGTGTCGGGGGGGATAGTCATTTGGTATTCTCACCCATATTTTTCCACTGACCGTGCATCAGCGTTCATCACTTTCTTGGCATTTCTGGTCAGCTGTCAAAACTTCTCCAGGATCTTTTTAGTTGTTTTCCCTGCAAGGATTTACGCGGAGTTACATGCACTGGAAGTATAATTTGCACTGGCATGTTTTTGATTTTTTTTTTTCTAGAGAAAAATGATTTTAGTATTGTTTTCCAGTGTTTACTTTTATCATAGAGCACTTCACACTTTGCCGTTAAAGTCTTTCGTTGTTTAAGATTCATCCTTTTTTAAGGGACGTTTCAGTTTGTCATATTCAGTACTGGAAACTTGGACATTGTCACCAGCATCTTTATTATCATCCTTGCGTTTCCTTAACTTCAGTATTTGAAAAGTGAAATTGTCAAATCAAACAGTGTATTCATTTCAATTTTTTTTAATGATTTGAGGACAATGTGTCCTTTACAAGTTCCACTGGTCTGCCGTGCACTGTTTGCTTGTTTGTAAGTTTGTAAATTACCAGAGCGGACATCTCAGGGGGAAAAAAACGACACCACGACAACGCAGCAAGAACAATCTTGGCTCGCCGCCGTGAAACTGACCAGTCGTTACTGTGTCAGTAATGCTGTGACCTCTGACCTCATTCTCTACTTGTTTTATCTCCCATCATTCCTTGCCGTCCTCACACAGGGGAAAGTCAGGAAAAGGGTAAGCACGGGCCACGTCGGTTATGTTTTGGGCTCTCAAGAGAGAAATAAACAAGGATTTCACCTGAAACGGTTTTAGTTAAAAGGCCTGTAGGATCATTGGCAAAAACCCTTTTGTAGAGCACTTTACAAATTCTTCAAATCTTCCTTGCTGTTGGCAGACAGGGCAGCCTGTGAAAAATCAGCTGTTCTGTCATTTATGAGAAGAATTGTACTTTGAGAAAATATTTCAGTGAATGTTTTCTTTGAAGACTTGCTGGACTGCACATTCAGTATAGTCTGACATCTAAGTCCCATATCTATCCTTTTTTCCCATTCCTTTTCCTCCAAAATATGACATCCGTTTTGATTTAGCTTAATCTTCCACCCCCTTTTTTTTCATAGGGATTTTTGTTTGTTTTCAGCACTGTTCACTATAATAACAAAGAAAAAAAGAAACTGATCCTATCGGCCTTTGATAGGGGGAACTTAACCAAGTGCACCACATGACATAACAAATCCCATGTCTCACAGTACTCATTAAACTTTTTTTTTCTTTTTTTTAAAGTTTGGGTTGACTTCATGTTTCGGTTATGGGATCATTTGCGCAGTGTTTTAACTAGGAACGAATGCGTACTAATTGAAAAAAGCCGTTTATGAAGCATTCAAGAATGTACAATATCAAACCAAAGAGAAGCTAGTAACACATCTTTTGAAAACATTTTCCCAAGATGGATTGATATTTGTGTTCAGAATTTCTCTGACATGGCATAGGCTTTCGTAACAAAATCATTTCAATCTTTAAAGTCCCCTGTCCAAAATAAAAACCAAAACCTTCTTTTGTTGGAAGTATTTATTTGCAGGTTAATGGATGCTGGTGAACTTTGTTGACAACATGAAACCAAAATTTGATTTTTTTTTTCTTCAGGATAGTTCCTTTACTAGTTGAGCACAGAGTACACGTCCTCGGTCTCAGAACATTAATGCATTTCTTGAGGGTCTTCCTCTGTGGAGAATTATTTTGGAAAGCCTTTTTCCACCGGGCATTAATTGGTAAACTTGTTGAGATAACTGGGGAGAGGAGCTTGCATTGAAACCGGAAGGGGCAGGAAGTAGGAAATGATTATAAGTGAAGATAAATTCAATTTAGTGCACTTGTTGGAACTTTATGAGTTCTTTTAGACCTTCTCAGGGACTTCGAAATATTTATTCAGTCGTGTGAATAATGTACCTGACAGTAAAGACGGCCTATTTTTTTTTCTTTTAGTTTTTTTTTTCAGTTTGAGTTGTTTGCAAGTTAGCTTGCATGACCATTGGCTGAATACTAACTCATTCGTTTGGAATGATACCTCATGTTGCACCTTGCTGATAAAAAAGTCGTCTTCAAACAGTTTTTTGAGGATATTGCATCAATGGAGGACAGTGTTTGGCTGTGTGTCAGAAAAAGAATCAAGAGACAGTTACAGAGCAAGATGAGCCCCTGTGAACAAAACCCAATTTTCATGCTGAGCGAAAGATACTGAGCAGCCAAAAAACGGGGCCCCAATTTCAATTAATACTTTGGGTGGTGTTTTTTGCTAAGCACGTACATGTACATGTATTTTCTGGATGCTCAACAGATCTGAATGTACTTTTGGCCCAGTGACAGCGTAGCTGCCACCATTTTGATGAGAGAGCCTCTTTTTTGGCAGCTTTCATTTTCTCGTCTTTTGTGTGCATAATGTTGAAAATTTGCGGTGCCATTTCCAGTTTCTGGTGAAAGTGAGTAAAACAGAAATGTAGCCTAGACTCTCCTGAAGACACACCTGCAATGTCCACATATTTGTGAAATACCATTGATATGAGTTTGGGGTTTATTGACAGCTATTGAATTTTGAATTTTGATGGTCTACTTGACTCTAATTTCTCTCCTCAGCTTAAACACTGCCCTCTTGTGGCCACATCATTCCCAGGGCATATGTATACATGCAATATCTGGTTTACACTGTGTTGTTTTTGAACGTGTAGTTGGTGTATATCCCACAGTGCACCAGTCAGGTGGCAGTGCCAAGTCTCAGATACTGCACAACAAAGTTCAAGCAAAAGTCAGGCCCGCACACACTGCCAAATCAGAGCTGACCTCAAAGACCAGGTTTTTCCTCCTGGTCTGCCATGGCAAGTTTGGTGTGCCGTTTTGCCAGCTGTGCTCTTGTGGCTGGCCCCCGGGGACTCCAAAAACTGAGACCCCTCCCTCTGCAAAATGCTTTTTTGGGAAAAATGACACCCACCACGGACTGGAAGCGATTGCTTACCGGTGGCTCCCATGGTAGGTCAAAGGTTAACCATTCCAATTCAGGACTCTGTTGCTGTATCAGGAATGCAGTAATCATTTTGGCTAATAAAGGCAAACGAGCATACATGTATCTGTGCTTTTTTTTGTGGGTATGACAGTGATATCTTTTGACCCTATCTCTGGTCACTTCAGACCTTTAACATGTAAACTTAATCCTTCTGGCGTATCAGTATAATATTTGTAGTAACTGAAGTACATGCTCAAAATGATATCTCTTCCTGTTCAAGCACAATGCACTGTCATTACATGTACGGTATTAAAGACCCTTATGTAACCTTGGAATGATTGCACCTGCTTTGTCTGGAACCCCCAAGTTATGCCGGACTTCCTAAGGGTAGTGAAAGAATCAAGAAAAAAAAATCACCATTTTCATATTCCTGAAGTAACCACACTGCCGTGTGCCACACCTGCGAAGACTTATTCCCAACTGCAGTCTGGGCATGCCAGTATGTTTGGGTTGTTCAATCAGTGCGGCAAATACTCACTTCATATCTGTTTGATCAATTGTGCGAGCAAAGCCATCCTATGGTATCAGAAGGCACGAGAGAATGGACGAAACTTCGTCAAATGAAGACCCCAAGTTTCCATGCCCGAAAGGCTTTTTTGAACGTTTCCTTTTTAACAATTATGAGAACACCACTACAGCTTCATTATTTTGGTAGAAACAACAACATGAAAGAAAAGTGGAAGAGATAATCAAAAAGGGACCGAAACAAGGAACTATAAAAAACAAATCGTAAAATTGCAAGCCTACAAGAGTGGCTTATATTTTCCTGAACTGTAGTCTTCTGAATAAAATTCTTCATCTAGTCATGCACATCTACATGTACATGTCGCCTGTAGAGCTTTTTTCCCAGACTGTTATCACCCATCCTCCTGAGTTAAGCGTTTTGAATTGAAACATTCGCGCAGTTTTTTCAGGTTCCTCACCTAGTCTGAAAAGTAGAGGTGGTGCACCCATGTCAACAGTGATCTTTGCCGCAGCTTCGGGGAACCATGCAAAGATGGCTGCCACCCACACAGGCCAGATGCAAAAAACCTTACTGCTGTGATCCAGTCGTCATGTAGTCCATTTCTCCTGCCTTCTAAGCCAAGACCATAGAATTCAACATTGTAGTGCAGACTTACTCTAGTTTTAGAACATCTGTAATCTCTCAAAAACACACACCATGGTTATAACCAAATACATGTAGCTTTAATCTACATCCACATGTAGCTTGCTTGATTTTTCTCTGAACTCACGAGTCCATTTTGAAGCAGTGCATTAGTCAATAAAATCCTCTATCGGTAGAAGTTTCAACAACTCAACTGACGAAGTGTTTGTACAGTATACTTAAGACCACAGGTCTCAAATGAATAGTTTTTAAATCTTGCCTTTTAGCCAATTCTCCTTGGTTCGACCAAAATTGGATTGTTTGTGGAAAAGAAATCCACAGGAATATTTTGTTGGCATGCGTCAGACACTTGCATTTGCTCTTCCAGATTCTGTTGGAAACTGATCATTAAAATGGGGTTGGAGCTTTCGTTGAAATCAAGCAGTTTATCTGAGGTCAGGGCATTGCCGTTGACTTTTGCACATTTCCAGCACCCTTCCCCCCCCTTTTGAAAGTACACAGATACTAACAAGGCCCCCTTTAACATCATGCCAAACCAACACAATATTGACTCCTGTTGATTTCACCAAGGTTTTTTGGGATAAGTAGTTCCGAGAATTTCTACTCCCCCCCCAAAAAAAAAAAAAACTCTGCATAAATGAGACCTTGAAATATGTTTGTCCCTAAAAGTCTGAAACAACTGAAGACCTGGTTTAAAAGGTCCCTGGGAAACCTTGTTGGCCATTAACAATTGGATAAACAAATGCCCACTGGAAATTTCGAAAGTTTGAATGAAACTTCACTGATATCTGGACAATTCAGAGTTTGACAAAAAGTGGCATTAACCTGGTCAAATTGCCATACGAAGATGTCAAAGTATGGAACATGATGTTTGCAGTTGTGTTGTTTTGACATGCTTGTGGGGGGAGACCACTTTTCAATTTGGACTCAATGTCGGCGTGTAGCTTTACCCCGTTCATTATTTGCTTCCCAAAGCAGGTGGAAAGACGATGATGAAGAAGGACAATGATATCAAAGAGTCCCAGGAGAGCAGCGTCGTTGAAGATGACGACGTCAAAGGTACATGTATGGAGCAAGTAGCAACCTTGAGGTCGGGGAGCGGGGTTGTGACGGGAAATAAACCACTTTGCGCCCCGGACACGTAAACATGATTAAGTGGTCCGCTGTATCTTGCCTTGAAAATAATACTATCCACTTGTTGTGAATGGGAGAGGGAGTATTTGGATGGAAATTTGAAATTTATTCACATGAACAAGATTTCTGAAACCTTTTCAAATACGTGAGTTTACTCTCCCAAAAGCTGTCCAAAAGCTGCCACATACAACACTTGCGTTGGCTTGATGGACAAAGATTTCACGAAGCAGATGTAAGTGCACAAGTAATGCATTGTGTGTTTTTGTCTTCAGCACGCAAACTGGAGATCGTCAAGGTGACAGAGGCACTCATAGATACCATTAACAACGGAGACTTTGAAGGTTACACGTAAGGAATGCTGCATATCATCCTCACCTTTGTCTCTGTCTTTTCTTTTCTTGTGATGAAAATGACCCCCCCTTTTGGATTAGGTTTTTTTTTACAGAAATCAGAGAAATTGAACTTGAGTAAAATTTGTATGTGGTGCCATCTGTTCGGCATGAGGTAAACCTAGGATATTGGCAGAGAGTGTTGCAGTCCAGTTGGGGTCAGGGACCTAAGAACTTAAGCAAACTAACAAGTTTAAGTTGAAGTCTGCAAAAGTGCAGAAAATGGAATCAAACAAAAATTGATACCCGTTTTCAGTTTGAGCTCTGGTAGCTGTTGCCTCCCTGGGCCAGGACCTGCCTTCTCCAAATATCCACATGGACCTTGCAGAAGTAACCGGAGTACCTTGCTGTAACACCGGGGGGGATCTGTCTTTTGCCAGGGAGGTTCTGAAAAGGACTTACGAGGCCAGTGTTTTCCAGACCTCCCCAGCTCACGTTAGAGATATTTCCTACATGGTGTAAGCTATGGCAAGCTACTCCGTCATGCTTATTCTGCAGTGTAGAGGTTCAAATCCCATCTCAAAAAAGTTGGCCGGAATCCGAGTTGTAGCATGCAGTGAAGCCAGGGACTGAACTAAGCCAAATTCAAGCAATTTTTTTTTTTCCATTTTGGAGCTTCAGTTTTATCTTTTAGCGAAATCAGATATAATACTGTTTTATTTTTAATATCAGAAAAGAGGCCCTGACGTGTTTGATCCCAGTAGAATCTTTATTGAAAGGCATGAAACACTTCTGGTAATGAAACCAAGGATTCCTCAAAAGCACCTTAGGAACTGTAGCTTGTCAGGCTGAAGAAACCTGTAGAGAGGAGACAGAAGCAGTTGCAGTTTTAGAGGTGGGAGGAAAACCCCAGAAGAGTGCTCCGGGTAAAACCCATGGAATCAGGTAGGGGCGACTGAAAACTCAATCCACCTATGGACCGATCCGAAAATCAAACCCATGCCGCAGGCCGGGAAAGGAAACCATTACGTCAACCTGACATACATGTAAGGGCTTGTAACTTTTAGGCTTGCTTTACCGACAGCGACTATCTCAGGCCTATTTCATGAACTTTGAATCCTTTTTTGTCCTGCTGCTTTCAGGAAGCTGTGTGATCCGCACATGACCTGCTTTGAGCCGGAGGCATTCGGCAACTTGGTGGAGGGTATGGAGTTCCACCGGTTCTACTTTGACAACGGTAGGTTGACACTCCCCGACAAATCTGGTTTTCACGATGCCTGGTTTCATGTGACACAGTGATACCTTAATTTATTTGTCCTGTTTCCGTGCAGTTGGTGTTGGCTGTGCGCCTTGTGATCATGTAGTTGATGTGCAGTTGGAGTCAAATTGTCACAGCGCCCTCATGTGTTGAAATGTGGCCCAGGTGAAAGAAATTCGCACTCTGGTTGAACCGTAAATATTGACTGAAGCATGGCAACCTTTCTGAGAGATAAAAAAATGAACGAACAATATACAAAACATTTAACACCATTTCAGTGTTCACAACTTCGCCATCTCTATGAAATACGTGTACCCAAATACCCCAGAATAGGCTGTTACTCAGAAAAGGAGACATTTAGGGGAGCTCTCGCTGATTTCTGACATTCCAGCAAAAGTTCAGCTTCTTTTGTTCCCATGAGTTGGAGTTTCAGTCACTCATGCATGCGTACAAATTAGTAACTTGTTAGTCTGGACTTTATTCCTGTCTGTTGGAAGCATATGCCTTCATGTGAAATTTGGCTCACAGAAACTGACAGCAAGTGAACAGAATTGTGCAACCTTCAGACCGCTGTAGTATCATTTAGGCAGCTCATTGCTTCGATCTCCCCAAGCCGTCTGAACAATTGCACTTAATTCGGAATACATCTGCATGCTGTCAACGAAAATATAAAGCTTTTTTTTTCAAACCCTCTCCCCCAAGAAAACAAAAATGGATTTTCTGCCAACACTTGCAAAGAGGGTTGTGTTTCACTGCATTTGTGGCGTCTGGAGTTTTTGTGTCATAGATGTGTCATCGATTGTCCAAGCGATATACCATCAAAATGTACTGTTGGTCCCTTGTTGTCACCGGATGGCTGTCTGTACGAAAAAAGAAAAAATTCATTTTGACAATGTCTGTCTGGTACCCGATCACTACATTCCCTTAAAAACACTTGCCGTGTTGTCACAGCACCCGGCCGTTCCCATTTAAGTCGAGGACAGGATGCCTTTTGCAGTTTTTTTTTTTATGTTGAGCCATCCATCAGAATAAATTCGGAAGATTTCATTGCAGGGTTACCTACACTAAAAAAAGATGTTTTTCCCAAGCAGGCAAGATTGAAAATTTCCTCACTGAAGCACTCTTCAATAAGTGACAAACTCATTTTCCTTTTCTGTTTTTTTTTTGGAGTTTTTCTTTCACCAATAACTTTTGTTTTGTTTTACGTTTTGCAGATCTGTTAGGAAATATTCGTTTTGAATAAAGAGAAATCCCCAAATGGTGTTGGACATTTTTTCATCTGGTTACTTCAAGATTGCGCTGTCTTTAATTCTTGAATCTTGAACAGAAAATAACCGTAATATTTACACCGATTCGTTGCTCAAATTTAAAGCCAAGACCATCCTGGCTTGAAGTTTTAGCAGAGTTTAAAGATTTTAAACAGTCGTTAATTTGTAGTAGCTTAGCTTTCAGACACTGGTCAAAACATCAGCAAGCTGGTTAAAATAAAAGTCTTGAGCAGTCCTGAAAAGAGGCAGCTAACTGCAAGTTTTCATATTAATTTGCCCATGTTTGAACTTGAAAATAATTTTACGGTTCAGTAAAGCATCCGGCTTGAGTGAAGACCAGTTCAGAAGTCAAAGGAGCATAGAAAGGATATATTGCAGTTTGGGAATGTTGCGCTGCAACTATTTTTGAAAATGCGGCGCAGTTGTGGCACGGGATTGCAGGGTACAAGGGTTTTTTTTTCGTGTGTAAAAACCATTCTGACCGAATATTATCACACTTGTGTATGAATATAAAGCAACATGTAGCAGCGAGACACTAGGGCCACTGGCTTCCATTTGCATGCTGCAACATTGATGTGGAATGCATTAAATGTTGATGTCCACTCCCTTTTACCCGTAAGAGGCCTCGGTAAGTCAAGCTGCCCGATGGCTGTGCCTTGGAGCCGAGGAGATAATGTGCAAAAAACGGATCTGAAAGCCATGTTAGCAGGAAGTTTAGGCGAAGAGAAGTACCCCCTGGCCAAAACTCTTATTGCCCCTTTTACTTCTGTTGTCAATTTAGCCCCTCGCCTTCAGCAAAGTGATGACATCACTTAAGATTACCATGAAAGCCAGAAATGGTAGAATTCTTACCCAAGTGCACGTGAGTGCCATTTAGCCTGCCTGAAATTTGAACGGATGGCGGATGCGTACCAGTGTTGTAGTCGGGTCCCTCACAAGTCCCTGCAAGTCCAGTCACAAGTCATCCAGTCTGAAGCCAGGCAGCAAACCACACAAATGAACTGTGACAAAAGCACTCCTTCTGTCATTGTTCACCCTGTTTCTTATGACAGGTCTTGTGACTGGACTCGTGACAGGTCTTGTGACTGGACTCGTGACAGGACTTGGGACGGATTCGACTACAGCTCCGATACATGCATCTTCCCAATTTGAAAGCTGGCTCTCTGTTTTTTTCACGGCTACATTGCTGAACACAGCCATGGATGTGGCACCAGTCTGTCAACAGGATGCTCAGTGCACCTGTCGTCAGGATACAGCCACAATTCCTGGTACCGGTACATTGTCCCCCTCCAATCAGTAAACTCCCCCTTCCCCCTCCACACCTTACTGACCCTGAGGTGGGGTTAGACAGAAAGAGGTCCGACCTTGTTGGGAATCGTTTTGCACATTTCTCGTTTGTCCAAAGCACAGAGTCTTGGCAAGTGGTAAGTGGTTAAGAGTTACCAATGAAGTTGAGAGGATTGGTTGTTCAGCATTCAATTTTCCACCCGCTTATTTAACTTCAGCGGAATGAAATTGAGTCTCGTATCCACACACAATCCTCTGTGGAAAGAAAACAATGAATTTAAAAATTTATTGGAAAACATTCTGAAGAACCACTGTATCACATTTATGTATCATACGGAAAAGCTAGTCTTGAAAGATGTTGCTGAATTTGTTGTTTTTCTTCGAGCTTCTGAAGATGAAAAGTATTGATGAAAAAGTTGCACTGTTAGAATCAACCACTTGGCGGGATCCACTTTTGAAGTCTGAATTGGAGAGCCATTAATCTGTTTAGAATGTTGATACACCCACCTCATTTTGTGGATATAAAGTTGACACCATTTTAACGTGTGGATAGCTGTTGATTCAACCAATTCATTCTGATCTTCATTGGGCGATTCAGAATTTTTTTCTTCTGTTGGCATTTCTGTATTGCATACTATAAACCCCGCATGAGGAGACTTAGTACACCAGGCAACTAGTTGTGGCCCCTCAGCTTTTGCATGTCCTGTGTTCATTTCACACTCGGTATTTTGTGCATGTTGATGTTCATATTCGTGTTGCCAAAGAGATTTTATTCTGCTCAGGTCAAAAACGGATCATCATTCAAGGAGGAATTCTGTAAAGGAAAAGAAAAATTGATGCTTTGCGTGAAATTTTGGAATGTCGGAAATTCACACGAATCAGTGATGATAAATCAGTTTGAAATACTTATCTGATTACATTTTGGTGTCAAAGAGATATTAGCAAAAACATACGAAAGAATTCCACCTGAGCTGAAAGTTGCTCGCTCCTCAAATTGCTGTGAAACAAACCATCGCTCTGCATGAACAACTTTTCTTTTGGGGAAAAAAAACCACTTGGACATTCTACAAACCATTCAATAATAGAGTTGTGTTCCTCTCCAATTTTTGGGAGGAGGCAGCCGACATATGTTTGATCATATCAATTTGGCTTTTGTATACTTATTTTCACCAAACAACAAGGTTTCATCATTCTCTGGTGTTTTTTCGAAAAGCGTACAAGAACAAAGTTGTTGGTCTGATTGAACATCAGTTCACTTCAAAACTGTGGCCTTGAATGTTGTTTGGTGGAAGTAAGCTCTATTCTTAATTCAGCTTTAATTGATTTTGATATAAATTTTCTGATTTTTTCCTTCATAATTTGCATGCATTGTAGCAGGATTCTGTTACAACACCTTGCTCATAATGTTTTGGCAAAGCACCATCGTTTTTTATTGGAATTTCAATTTAAGTGCATTGGTGGAGGGGGGATTGGTTAAGCCCCTCAGCAACAAATTTCATGAGAGAAAGGCAGCGTTGGTGGTCTATTTCTTTTCCCCACAAATATTGCCTCTCTCTAAAGAAAGGCCACATCATACGTGGAAAGGCTTGCGGTAGCACAATGCAAAGGAATTTATCTCTTATGAGTATATCTCTTATGAGTATGTGTGGTTCTGAAAAGAACTGGGAGTATACTCAACTGAGCACAGACGGAGCACGCAGTCCGAAACGTTGAGTATACTCCCAGATCTTTTCAGAACCACACATACTCCTAAGAGATATGTTCCTTCGCGTGGTGCTACCGCAAACCTTTCCACCTGTTGTTGTCTTTCACCATGAGTAACCTGAAATTCCATTGGAAAGGCCATATACATAAAATATTTCCAAATTTTTGGATTCACCAAAAACTAATTTCAGGATTCACCCTTCTTTGAGTGATTCCAAATGAATGGAATATATAAATGAGCTCGACGTGTTGGAACAAATTTATTGATTCAAAGCACTCCATAACTGAGCAAGGTGTTGTAACTGAGTCAGTTATTTTATGAAAAGTGCTGTGCCTTTTTACAACTTTCCAAAAATTTGTTCAGAGTTTGTAATCGTTCTATTATCGATTCCCTTCTTTGCCTTTTGAAATTCTCCCCTTGTGTTATGTTTCTATCAAATTCAATCCTTTCCCTTTCAAATGCAGGTTTAGCAATGATTGGCAAATCTTGAAAACCCAACAGAAAACTCCAGTGTCTGAGACTAACAAAGAATTTTCCCTTAACTATTGCGAAAAAAATCACAAGAGCATGACGAAACTTGATATGCCTGCATAGAGTGAAATATTGTTTAGTTTTTCTAGTTTACAACTCTGATGCACATGTTCTTACTTCCAGTAGCAAAATAACCGTTTTGTGTCTTGACTAACTCATCCCCCAGACTAAGAAAAATTATAGGACAAATTATAGAAATAGAAACATACCTGTTTTATCTGAAAGTATAACCAAATAAGGAAGGGTCAAAACTCAATCATCCAAAATTTTATTTTCAAAATGTCAATATGCAAGATTGAGAGAAGAAAAATTGCAAAAGTTGGAAACAGCATTGTCACTCATGTAGACAACAAAACCTTGTCACTTTTCTAACCCCGACCATGGCAAGAATGCCAATTTCCCCCCAAAAGTATGATTCGATAATCGATCGATTGTAATCCTTGACTCCTTTCAGATGAGATACACAATTTTTTTTTTGTGGTTGTCTGTGAGAGGGCATGGCTCTGGAGAATGGTGTACTAAATCCCCCTTGTCTATATGTTGTTCTGGCATGCATTGCTACAGCCGCGGCCCCGTCCTACGCCAGTGGTCCTAGTGGTATCAGTGGTCTAAACATGAAAGAGTCTGAAAAACGCCGTCTGGCTTTTGCCTTTGCAGTGCTGTCCAAGAACAACAGGGCGCGCAACACCACCATCCTCCATCCTCACGTTCACCTGATCGGTGAGGATGCGGCCTGCATCGCCTATGTCCGTCTCACCCAGTACATTGACCGGTGAGCTTATCCCCCTTGTTTTGCTCCTTCTTCAGATTTTGCTTTCCTTCTGTTGTGTTTTAAGGTTCTGCCCTGGTGTTTGCTTGAATGCCTGTTTAAGTTTCTCTGATGTTTCTTTTGCTGTGTATTCTTTCAGATACAGTAGTCTAAAGCCTAGAGTTTGTTCACATTTCGTAATAAGAAGCTTCGAAGTGCTGAACGGGTCGCACCTTTGATCCAAGTCTCAAGTTAAAAAGAGGCTTTCGTAATCACTGTTAACTTTCCAGATGCACCTTCACAAACTTAATTGTTCTCACTGTTACAAGCAAAAGAGTAAAAAACTCTCTAGAAGTGTGACTCCAATAAACCACTCCAAAACATTGATCTTTCCACACTGCCAAGGAGCCATAGGTAAAAGAGTTGTCCTTCATATGGCTCCTCATTTTGAGTGAATTTCACTACTACTACTTTTGGGTGGTTTTCACTCTATGTAGAGTGGTTTTCATTGGTTTAGAGTAGATTTGTAAGAGACTCACTCTTTGAAGGCGGTGTTGTCACTCTTCTGTCTTCAGAGATTTGTTTTGTGTATCTGGTGTGCCCAGCATACTAACACGGCTGTACCCAACTTTGTCCAACAGGGAATTAGTGGTCCATGACATACACACATCGATCTCATTCCTTCTTGAAGAGCACTCAGACTTTCGTAATTTGTTTTTCTTAAAATGTCATTAGAATGTCGAGTCTGCTTAACCCCATGGACTGGTAAAGAAATTTTAAATGTCTGTTGTATATTGCAAAGTGTGACAGTGATGCTCCACGGAACAGTATCAGATTTCCTATCATGTAAGAAGCTTTATCGTACCAAGAAAAGATTTCTTAGGAAATTAATTGTGCTTGATGGTTTTACTGTCTTGGCCTCTCTACCAGGAACGGTTTACCCGTAACTGCTCAGTCTGAGGAAACGAGAGTGTGGCAGCGCAGGGACAACAAGTGGACAAACATTCACTTTCACCGCTCGGGATCGCCCAGTGCTCCAAACAAATAGCCATGCCCCTGGACACGCCTCGTCTTTTATCACCACCCGACCGTGTCTCCCCCTTTCCACCTGTTTAATGACCACATCCATTTCAAACAAGCAGATGTGTTCTTACAAAAAACAAGAAACAGGGTTGGTTTTTTATTAAAGGGGATTGACGGGGAGAGAGAGATCTTCTCGATAACAAATGCAAAACCTAGCGGAGCCATCACGCATTGCTTACCGAGATGCAGTCTATCGTTCTCTTTCGAACGATGGCTTCCGTTTTGTCTTCGTGTCTGGCTGTAGTGGGACCATCTTCTTGGCATTTTTATGTAAACCAAGAACGATGATTACCTCCAACCTGTTGATAGTGTAATTTTTGTTGTTTGATTGCTCAGAGATTGCTCAGAGGAAGATGGTGTGGCTGGTAGGAGGAGCCCCCATGACTTGGCTATTTGGTGTAGAAGAATTCTGATGAAAACGTTTTTTTGGAAAGACTCAAGAGCAAAGAGAGATTGATTTTAATTTGGGGAAGGCACTTTTTGTTTGGATCAGTGCCGACCAGAATAGAGATCAGTGCAGAATAGTCTGAAGAAGTAATACATTGTTGAGACAAAGCGAAGCCGCGGTTTCAATCTCTGAAGAACTCAAAGAGACATTTACCGGGGGGTTTGTAGGTAGCTTTGTGTTGTCAATTTCGAATTCAGTCGTGTCTGTCGTAGTTAACTGTATACAGCCCGTTGAGTGAGGCTTTGCAAATTGAAAAGTGCAGATGCTTAAGGAGAAACTGTAGTTTTTTCTCCAGTTCTTATTCTATGCCTGCCTTTCTTTGTATCCCATTTCATTGTGGCCCCTTTTTCATGTTAGCTCGTTCTATTTCCATTATTTGGCTACCACCTTTATTCCTTCACTTTTCTTCGTAGTAAAATTTAGTCCCCCTAAAAATTACTGCCTTTTTTATCCAAAGAAAACAATTTTGTCATTCCCTTTGTCTGGCTGTGTCAAATGATGTCCAACTGTCAATATCTTTTTGTCAATAGTTAGTCGATTTTAGACCTTTCTCTCCCGCCCCGTGGCTTATTTGACAGTCTAGCGTCATCGCGTCGCGCTCACCTCTCCCTTTGACCGGTTGTGACAGAGAAAGATTCGAAGTTTTGACGTAGATTTGTGTCCCTTTGACTTCATCAATGCACCATATGCAAGTGTGTTTTTTGTGGTGTCACCATTGCCTTCTCTGTGTGGTTTTTTTTTTTCTCTCTTGTCGGTAGTTCTGTTGGCGGAGTTCCATGCCATACCTCTACGGTTATTATGACCGCATGTGTTTAGGATTGCTGTAATATGAAAGTTGTTGGAGGTTTGTTGGCACCTTTCCAACCAGGTATGTCAAAGCAGCATTTGACCACGGAGCGCATATTTGTATATTTGTAGAGCTGTCTTATGCAAGAACGAGTGCGGGGACCTCTCCAAACGGCGAAGATTTTTTTTTTTCAGTTGAGATAATGAAAACTAGATCAGTTCTGCGGTCCTTCGTTCCAGTTAACATTTTATTTGTACATTTTTGCTGCGTGTGATGAAAGTCTTTTGTTATTTTTTCCTTTTGAGTTAATTTCAGTTTTTTGACTTGATCAGACTTCGTGTTGCAGTGCCTGCGCATGGAATAAAAAGAAGCAAGTTAACGCGTGGAACAGTTGAAGAAAAGGACAAAGAAACGAGACGTTTCTAGTCAAAAGTGAATGGCGTTATAAGTGAAGATTTGTTGGGTTCGTTAACGAAGGAGCTGTAGTTTAAGTACATGCTGTAATGTACAGTTAAGATAAATTTGATATATTTAATAATGGTATATAAGTAAAGATGTCAGATCAGGTACTTAGCTAGGGAGATTTACAGCAAAGCTGAACTGAAATTTGGAAGGATTGTAGCGGTATAGACATCGGTCTTCTTTTTTGATGTTCTTGTGCCATTTTATCATGGAAAGAATTTAAACTCTTTTTGGTGACAAATATCTCTCATGTTTACGAATATTACTAGGAATTTATGGAAAACTTTAACTTGTCCCGTAGTATAAGCAGGGTTGTACCGTGTGAATTGATCGTCGTGTTGGTGTCTAACAGCTAATAATTTTTGTTCTATATCTTTGTTTCTCTCTGTCATGTCATGGTCAATATGGCATTTATTGGTCGAGTGAGTGGGCGCATTAGTGTGCGGGGTATTTTTGCAAATATGTAACGTAGCCAATTGCGAGAGGTGCTCACGATCAACTGAACTGAGTATAGTAGGTGCCGCATTAATTGTGAAAAAAAAAGTGGAATGGGATATTTCCTGTTTTCTGCGTAATAACTCGATGGATAAAATCCTGCCGGGAGTTTTGCGGGAAATCTTTAGCCCGGACTGCTGTCGATATATACCCCACGATTGAGTGCTAGCATGAGTGCCCGCCCTGAGCTGGAGCACCCCTTCATCATTGGTAGGGAGTGTTCAGTTTGCCGGTAGCGACGCAACCTTAACGCGTGCATTTCAAAGTCGTTTGTGAACCAGAGTATTTCTTTTCCGACCAAAGGAGCCTCTGTTGCCAGGAAAATTGTGCCCTCTCTTGGTCCGGGGGGTGCATACCTTTATAAAATGTACGCTCGAATTGCTCGTTAAGGATTGCAGATTTACACTTGGTGTTTACTACACAAAGACCCGTATGGCGTTTGAGCTTTAGTTGAGTAACCGATTTGAAGGTTTGAAATTTCGGATCAGCTGTGCTGGCAACAGCAGCCTTTTTGAATAATGTACCCAGAAAGTGTTATATTTAAAAAGTAAACTGTGTCAATACTAAAATGCATGTACCACGCCATATTTCACCTTGACAGCCCCCGTAGCGCCTGTAGTACAGTTTGCCCAAGTTACAAGAAGATCGTTTATGTGGTAGCCAGACTCGGACGACGAGGTTTCCTACGCACATCTGTGTGTGCGGAATGTCGTGCCCTACGACTTACTTTCGATAGGGAAGCTTTCGAAGGTCTTTCCATATCTGTGCATTGGAAAACCCGACGGTGTTCCCTGTTCGTGAGTTTCTGGCGTATGTGTACATGCGTACAGTGTCGCAGTACCACCGCGGGTATGTTGCCGTATACGTGTTTGCGCGCTGGCCGTGGGATAACACTACCGGAGTGTGTCACTCTGGCGTCTTGTGGAACTTGCACTGCATTTCGATCAGCCCGACGTGCACATGACGCACAGGGTGTTGGCGGGTAAAAGAACAGACATTGTCATTGGTATAGCCTACATTGCACTTTAATCTGATTTCAAAAGGTGACTTTCCAAACAACAAAGGAAATACATGTATACCTTTCATGTCGCTGTCGGAGGTCTTTGCGGCTTTTAATCGGGGTGGGTGAACTGTGGTTTAAAATGGAGACTGCAGACGTCAGCACGTCTTCGCGTCCTAACGGTTTAATGCTTAATGTGCAAAGGGAACAAAAGCCAACTATTAACATGTAGGCCCTAACGTGAATATAACATTGCAACATCAGATTACGTGGTGGATAATGTGTAGCGGGTAGGGCGCCTTCATGCTACCGCGAAACTCGGTTATGTGCCTTGATCATCCCCATCGGCCCAAAGGGCCTTCGAGTGACATTTTCCATTTCCGATTATCACTGCGTTGTATGGCCTGCAGTCGCCCTGCAGGTCCATTGGTTTGGCACCAGTTGTCATGTACGCCTCCTGTAGCGGTGTACATCGGTGCAATGAATGGGTACTTCACGTTTTAATACCATAGGGTACAATTTTACAGCGAAGGTTTTGTCGAAATTGGTAAATTACGTGCAAGAATTTCGCACTGTACCATTGAAAGATGTCGATTCGAAGACTTTGTTGAAAGCAGTAGGTTGGTATTCCTGACTTCGTAGCGCATTGGCAGGTGTTCTTTCCATAATGCCCCCGAATTTGTGTCCAGCCAGATTTACATTTTATGTTTTTATGTCTGCCTATTTTATTGCTTTGACTCTTGTGTTAGTGTGTATGTAACCTGTATTGGCAGGGACACAGGCGGGTGCTGTTCGCGCCAACTCGATTCTGTGTGGCTATAACGTATAGTGTACATCTAGGTAGACTTCAATTTCAACCATTTAAACTTTTTTCTCAATCGGTTTAGAAGGCTTTGAAAGGTGTAATATGTAATAGTGCTAGAATCGATTATCATATATTATTAATGTAACATTTCTTATATCTCAAGGTTCTGTAGATAATAATTATAATGGCAGTTGTAACATTGGCGTGCCATGCACTTCTGGATTTTTATTCACTATTGCCAAGCCACGGGTGTTGCATGGCAGCCAGCATCGGTACAGTCCACGTTGTCTTTTATCATTCGGTCCTTGGGATTCGACTTGCTTTTCTTGACGTGTCGTCGTTTTCAGTTTATACGATAGATGTGTAGCGGGCGAGCCAGGCGGCGTCCGAAGCGTGTCTCCAGAGCTACGACTCGCGTCTGTTTGTCAGTAGGCTCAACCAGCCGAGACCCAGCCGTAGCTCTAGATGAAAGATTTGGACGCGGCCACGTCCTGTTCTTTATTTGTGATGGCTGTCATGCGCATTTGGATAATTGACAAGATAGCAAATCTGCCCTTGAGGGCGCCGATCACACTATTTTGGATCGGCCTGTGAGATCGGGGAACGACCTACACGTGGCTTGGTTAAAACTATGTTCACCGACACTATGGTTATCGATATTTGGGGTTCTCCAATCCTCCATGTGGTTAAAGTTTGTTTAGCGCCCTCCAGTGGCAGTTAATGGATGGTGCACTTGAAACTGGTCGTCTCTTCTCATGTTTGTTGATCACCTGCCAAGAGTGGCTATTGGTACCAGAGCTGTATTACAGAGAATGTTGCGACATAAGTGCCACCAGTTTAGGAAACAAAATGGCAAGTGTATGCACTACACGGCCAGTTGATATACATGTGCAATAGCCGCACGATCTACTGTACACACAGTGAACAGCCATTTTGTTTCCCAAATCTGAAGCATGGTGCTACTCTGTATACAGGTCTGGTTGGTACATCACGAGAGCGCTCTCATCTGACAACGTAACTTTAATGTCCTCAAACGCCATTTCGATGCTGGGTGTCAAGTTAACGTTTTTGACATCAGGTGATTTGTTACCCATAATCCCTCGCTCTTAAGACAACATGGTGACCAGAGTACCAGTGGTTTTGGTTAATGAGAGGAGTACCAGGGATATGTTTCTTTCAGTTGTCAGGTAGGCTTTTCCTTCTCATCCTTCACTGTGTTTTGCCAGTCAACTGTTTGGAACCAGTGAAATAGGCCTAATATGTTGACGTCGACAGTTGACGCGCACTTTTCACTGGTCATCAACCAAAAGGAAAGTCTATATGGGATTTACCCTTAAAATGCTGTTGTGTCATTGTGTCAAATTTAAGGAGGGTAAAATAATTGTTAACTTCAGATTAATATATGGATTTATTATCAAAATTGGGTGAACGTTTAAAAACATACGAAATAAAAAACTAATAAAGTATCTGTTGGAAGCATGATAAATGTATAGAATATAACCTGCTCATGGTGCGTCCTCATTTTTGCCTATGTCACGAAGCCGAGTCACTTCGAATGATTAAATGCGAATATTTGACCCTTATTTTGGATTATTCAGTTCCTTTAAATTTCTACAAAAGCTGGAACAAAATGTGGAAAACCCTGAAGGAAAGGTATTGGCATTATTTTGGCATAATGTGATCAGCTGCTTTCGTTGCAACAATTATGCAACCGTATAATTGTGACAATGGATATCCGAATACATATTGCAATGATCCGCACAGCCCTTTTTACAGTATGTCGGGCATACGCCGTTCGGATCATAAGTAATTACGCCACCTGAATTTAAACCATGCCCACTGCAACCAAGTTACATTGAAACGGAGAACCGGAAGTAAAACGCGCAACTTGATCGTTCATCCAATGGGAGCTGTAATTGAGTGGTGCGTGTGCGTGTATGGTGAAGTCACGAACCAGACAAGTTGACGGGCTCTTTATGATAAGGCTATTAAGCTCAAGGCAGTCGGAGTCAGGAGGGGAGATAAGGCAAAAAGCCTGCCTTACCCTCCCCCCCCCATATCTCTCTTCCTAGCATACGTTTGAGCAAATATTTTGCAGCGTGTTTGCGCTTGGGAAGGTCATTTCCCTTCGGTTTTCAAACCATCTTTACACTAGCTTGATCGCTCAACCGTCCTCATATCACGTTGTGGAATACCTCAAGCGCGATGAACCGCCGAACGCTCAATCAAATGGGAAATGACAGCAAGTACGGTGCTCACAAACCAAACTACAAGGTGTTTTTATTATTCGATTATATTGTATTACGATGACCACAATGAAGTTAGCTGTCACGGCTAGTCAGGTCCTTTGAGAGCTGTTCAGTATTGTATGTCTAGCAGCTGCCATGATAATTGACCGTTGGAAATACAATCACAGTCGCATACTTCCTACACATGAAACAAACAGTGGGGAAAACTGTGGCCTCAATTTGAAATCATGCATCGACCAAAGTTACACAGTGCTGTACCTCTGCCTTTGATACTGTCTTTATTGGCCCAGAACGGTCACATGACAGGGCGACATATCCGCATATCACACTCACCGTGAGACATCCCATTCTACCGATAGCGTGTGCACGGGCACGAGACAAAAGAGCGTCGGGAAGTTCGAGAGCGACCGTTGTCGCACATTAGTCAGTTTTGCGTGGTACCCATGATACGTTTTGTGCATAGATTAGCGGGGAATTCGATCAATGGTCGCCCTCGTGTAACACCAGTTCCCGTCACCGTAGCGTATGAGGTAATACAGGGACCTCTAACCAGACTACATGGCGTGAACTCTAGTAACCGCACTACTTTCACATTTTAGATTTACGCAATTTAAAGAACGTGAGGGAACAGTGCATTTGGACGATCTCATTTAAGTCTGTTATGTTCAATATACAGCTTGACAGCAGGCCTGTGGTCTTATGAATTTCTGAAATTCAGAGCTTGTTTCATACGATAAATTCTTCAGCCTCTATATAATTAAGACAGAGGTGTGAAAGCATTATTGTTGACTGTTGTGGTGTGGCAAATGACGTTTTGAACCCGCCCCGGCACGCATAGTGCCCTTGGCTTCGCTTTGGGGCTGTCGTGCAATATAGGCCGAAAGTCAGCTCCCTCATTCGGCTTCCTCATTCACAGATCACTTGATGGAACCGATACGCATCTGTTGGCTCTCCTTGAAAGCTTTGGCGTCTGCGTTGACAGTTGACGTGTGGCATCCTCCCCCCTTCAGTTTGTTAATTGAAGAGAATGCATCTTGTTGACCGCGTGCGGTCGACTTGACATGTAGCGCAGGGCAATGACTGGAAAGTTGGAGGCCACGTGTAGGACACGACTTACAAACCCGTAGGAGGCCTACAAAGTAGGCGGGCGTTTGCCTGTCCACTGCCGAGGTTTATACCCGAAAAATTGACAAATTAATCAAAATTTTGATCATCACAGAGGGTGATCTGCTCGTCAAATCCCCGGGTTATGACAAGCCCCATGGCCTTGCAACCCTTTGGAATTTTGAAGAGGACTTGTAGCCCTGCAGTGGAGATGAATTGGTGGAGATGATGCAGTGGTGGTAAACAATGGAGTCCATACCCCGCCCCCCGAAAAAAAAAAAATTCATTACCTCCAGAAGCATATGTACGGTGCAGAAACTGTGGTGACTAATTGGTGTTATTTTACTACCGTGGGTGTTGGTAGACGACTACACCCAGTGAGGACTACACCAGACTGGGTGTAGTCATCTGATAACACCAAGGGTGTTTACTTAACACCACCGTTTTCACAGAGTGTGAAGTCTCCATATTGTTGCCTTACCCTGCAGAGAGGCCATTAGAGGTCATTTAAACATTAGAATTGTCCGAATGTTTTGGCACCCCCCCCTTTGGCTTTTAATCCGCTGTTGTTGGGATGCAAGCCTTGTTTTCTTTGAACTGTGACCTTCAGGAACGTCTGGACCGTTTTTGCTACATTTTTAAGGCAGCGTACTTTTTGTGAGGTCACAGGTTTCTCTCCGACGAAAATTATTTTCTTGTAAAATGTTCTTCTTTTCTCCTCAGGAATTGCATCGAGTTCATTATAGATAGAATGTCAAGCAAAGTTTTACCCCAAATTTGTTGTAAGTGCGCTTCTTCTTATTTATCTCTAAACCGCAAAAAGACTTCAGAAATCACTGCATTTTATTTTAACCCAAAAAATGTACACGGTGTCCCATGATTACTACCATATCGAAGGCTTCTAATAGCCAAGTGCTAGAGAGTTCGATCAGTCTATCTGATCGATGAATTGGATTAATATATTATACCATTATCCACACGAAATAAACGAATGAAAATAAAACTACAAAGTTAACAGTAATTTGAAGTTAATGGTGATTTGTACAACGTTGAGGACATCTAACGTTTCTTTACTCAAAGTTTATTGTATGTATCGTCTTTGAGGGTAACGTCGATGGAGAACAACTCATTTTTTTCTGTATTTACACACTTCTATAAGGATCAATAGATTATTACAAATTTACATTACAGAGTTTGACTTTATAAACAAGCAACTTTACTTCATTTTACTAGTTACAATGTCCATTTCAGGCTTGTGCGACTTTGATGAATCGATTTGTGATTATCGATTCTCAGTGTCTATTTCAGGGTGGCGAGTGAGCTTGGTGGATCGATTGACTGTAATCGATTCTCAGCATGATTCAAAGACGCGTTCGGTTCGTTTGGCGTCATTTTGTCACTCCGGAAGGCGGACCCGTCTTTCAGGGCGTCCTGCGGCGCCGTGGCGGTGTGCTGGACTGTTGCCATGGTTGCGTGGAATCGGGTCTTTCCGATGTCGTCATCTGCCGTGGGGCTGACCCTCTGGATGAAGCGATGACATCTGAAGAGCTGTGCAAAGAGAGCAGGAAAAGATAAGACAACTGTTATTTATCCACATTCTTGTGATTATTATTGCTGGTCTTTGGCAAGGCTTGGTTGATCTCTACATTGCCGGTATGTTTGTTTGTAGGCCAGAAAAAAACCTATTTCCGCGGCGAAGCTGTGTTGATCGATGGGCTAATTTGTGTTTTTGCACACTTCAAGTCTTTTACATAGCAATCCTGTGTGATAAATATCTACAAATGCATTTTAAAGCGCCCCCTTCATGCCTGAATTTGTAGCTGTCAAATTATTCAGAAAAGTTCTGGAATCGGTTTACGAAAAAAAATCATAACCCTTCTTTAATCATAACTTAGTTATTGTAGTCTCTGGTCTTCGCCAAATTTACTGGTCGGATAGGAGTTTTTACTGTGGGAAACGTGGGAAGACGTTACAGTTTGAATGGGATAGATGTATATATTTTCAGTTAAATTGTAGAGTTTGTTTACCTGGGCCAAACCGATTTTAAATCGTCTGCTCATGAAGGCGTATACCAAGAAGTTGAGGGCGCTCCCCCCGTAGGCGATCAGGCATGCCGTGACCTCCATGACACTCTTCTCGTCCGGTGTCATGGTGACTACGTACTTGAGCAGTCGGCTGATGAGACTCGGAATCCAGGACACTGTGAAGACGGCCACCACGATGACTACCATCTTGACCGTCTTGTCCGTCTTGCTGCCGTCCTTGCCCGAGCTCCCGCCCTGGTGGGACGCCGCTCTGCGCTCGGCCGCCTTGGCCACGCGCAGGATGCGGGCGTAGCTGATCACCATGGCGACGAAGGGGAAAGCGAAGCACAGCGCCAAGACGATGAACTCAAACTGGGCTGGCATGAAATAGACCACGACAGCGACGGCCGCTGACAGGGCCCAGACGCCCGCCAGGACGGGCCGGCACCGCGGCAGGGTGAGCCGCCGCGACATTGGGTGCAGCACGGCGTCATGGCGGTCCAGGGCGATCGCCGTTAAGTTGAAGATGGACGCGGCGGAGGAGAAGTAGAAGAGGAATTGCTCCACGTTGTAGGAGACCCCAGTGTGGCCAGAGTGGACCAGGATCCCAACCACGAGGAGAGGGGAGCAGATGATGCAGACAAGAAGGTCAGCCACGGCCAGGGAGGTCAAGAAGACATCGGTCACTGTTCGACCTGGGCGAAGGATAAAAGATAACGGAGAAGGATATTTAAGAAAAGACAACTACAAGAAAAACGGAAGAAATTTAAACCTGTTCGAGGATCCTTTACAATGCAGGCTGCTATTCTTATAATCATTAAGCGCAACAGGGTTTGAAGGACTATTTTTAATATTAAGAGACAAATCGGTGGTCAGAGAAACGCATCCCGAGTATTTCCTTGCGGAAAAAAGAGACGAAGTGATGCCATGCCCACTCCACGGGTAATATTTTGAGTGACATTCTCCAAGAGGTTCTGTTCCCACATTTATTACAGCCTCCACCTTTTATTTCAACCCTGTCTGAGAGGAAGAGACTGAAAGATGTTTCAGCCGAAGAGGGAAAGTGATGTAGGGAGGCATGTTTCAATGGTCACCTTGTTAAATAAAACACTGACGGAGACAGCGCGAGAAGTCTGTCTTGCCAGTGTGGATACAAAAATGTGAACTGAATTGTGCTACAAAAGTCAACTTTTCACCCAGAAATGGCGGAATGCTTTTCACCCAGAAATGGCGGAATGCTGCAGTACTTGATGTCCTCACTGAGCCTCACTCCATTGAATTACTGTGTGTGGCCCTACTGCATGAATATTTCGAATAACAGTATATCGCTGAAGGAAAAATTTTGCTAATCAAATAATTTTGAATAATCGTGTTCAGAGTAGAGCGTGTCGTTACGCTACGGCTGTTTAATTTTGGGTTACAGACACGGCGGTGACTGTTTTATGTGTTGTATGTTTCGATTTCTGCTCTGTACCCCGGTACATTTTAATATGCTGCATGGGGAAAGCCAAGCCCGAACAGTTCCATCACGCTGACCTGGTGCTAGGGGAGTATAGCGTTCGGGGAATTTGAGAATATAAAATTTAGAATTTAGACTTGCGATATAGACCTTGCAATTAAGTACGTTCGGACTTGAATTAGTCCCGTAAAACTTAAATTGGAACCTAAAAGTTTCTGTGAGATAAGGATCTATGTAACATAACTGCAACAAGTACATTTGGACATCTGTTTTCACCACACCTGCTTGTTTCGTTACTTTGACATCCTGAAACTAATAATTTAGGCAGACCTCCTTCATAATTTACACTAATGTAATCCTATTATAACGAAACACGGTGGCCAGCATGCCATCAATTGTATATGAGATCCCCCATAATGTGTAGGCAATTAGCCATGAAATCAGGGGGGAACTGGCGGAGAGTTACGCTTGAATGACCACACTTTGCAATGTCATTTATGGCAATGAATATAAGGCTCGCTTTATTATCATCGCCCAACTGCTCTAAAATGACTTTTATTCAAAAATTAAGGTCCAATGTGTGCATTTGCCATGGGAGCCATTATGTCTACGTCACTTGTTGGATGTAATCTGTGAAAAAATATGCGTGTTGATCCTCCGTTTGGCGGTCCGACGACGTGGGGCGATTGTTCCATTGGGCGTTGCCAGTAGCGGCGAGGGTGATATATCTGGTCTTTTTTATTCATGAAGAAATCGTTCAAGTCATGAAACAATAGATTCTTAAAAACATCTATTTTCTATTTATATTGGAATTCTTTATCGTTGATTGGTCGCTGCAGAATACACTGCATTTCCAACGATGAAATTACACCTACTGTATTTCCTTTGTTGCCGACCAAGGGTTTGCCTTCACGGCCTCAAACGCACATGCACATTTTAAACATGAAGTTTTAAACTGTAAATTTATCGGTGACACGTTTGTTGCAACTATGGTCTGTTTTCTGATCATTTGCGACAGGTTCGGATTGCGATTTGTGGCCTCTAGGCCTCATTTATACGTCTGATATGCGTTTTAAGTTTTGAATAATTCTGCATGCCTGTACAGTGTTAAGTCGCCACACGCTGTCATCATGTCATAATGGTTCCAGGGTGCAGCGTCAATGAAGAAAATGTAGCATTTCGGTACAAAATTTGCTATGCGTGTGCGCCAGATTGCATAAAAATGAGGTTGTGTGGTTGTGTGTTGCACTTCAAACTCGGAGAAAACAATAAATTACTGTTGCTTAATGCCAATATGAAATATGCTGGTATGACTTCAATAAATACAGCAAATCTTGCTTGCAATATAGTACTATGAAGTTTAACCTCAGCAGTAGAAGGGTGGTGCTCTAACATTTTGGTGTTAACGAAGATTTCCATATACTCATAACCAAAGCGTCAGAGGAAAGGAACAAAGTATTGTCTTCATGGCGCGCTGTGTACAACATAATTAATATCGTACGTCTCTACATTTTCTTGGACTGAGCTCTACTTTTTACTTAATCGGGTTTAGCAGCTTGTTCAGACTATAAAAAAGGTTAGTTTTCTTCAAACTTTGTTGGTGGTTGATTTTGAGAACATCCTTTGGTATTTTTATGCTCTTTTGACGAGGATTGCCTCGTGTGACAAAAGCAAAATGTTGCCCTTTTAAACGTATTGATGAAAGGATTTTCTAGGAATAGAAAAACTACAACCCTGTTGTCACCTCCAATGAAAAGAAGTATTTAGATCTTATTTTTATCGTCACAAAAAGTAGTATGCATGATGACAAGTTGAGCTGAATTTTCACAGCACGTTTCCTTAAAAACACATCGAAGGCCATTTCAACACGGCCCGATCCTGCTGCCTTGGGCGATTTCCCTTCGCATAAACCTATAATGTGCATTGGACTGTGGCTCGTGTTCTAAGGCCAAGGACTTCATAAGGCTCTCTCGTGTGATTTGAACGGCCTCTGGGCTCTAGCTGTTCAGCCTGCTCGCTTTCCTTTCGAATGTCTCTTCAGAAAAACACACATGAAATGACTTCACGCAATTTGAGACTTCCAGTAATGTCTCTGAGAACATGTCGTTACGTAAAATTCTTATCGAATCTAAAGGCACTTAGGCGCTTTCAACGACGTTGCACACGATTTCTAAATGGTGTCGCAAAGAGCGATTCACTACATCATAAATATTTTCTCCGGATAGGTGGTGATTTTTAGCGCCTCTCTACAGTTTGATCCAACATAATGGTAGTCGGGTTTTCGTCCTGGTAATATACCCTCTCCATTTTCACCTTCCGTCGGTGGGAAATATCTTGGGAAATTTTGGGATTTGGTTAAGAAGTTTCATATATCGAAAAGGGAATTCCTTTGCAGAATCACACCTCGTGCGCATGGACATCCAGCTGAATTATTTTGTTCGGGAGGCGCGAAAAGGGGGACGGCCCGCACCCATATTGCAGGATTATCACTTCTTTGAAATCAACCTGCTTATTGGCATCATGGAGGTAGAATCACTCTACCTCCATGCTGGCATTTAGCGGGCATCGATTCAACTTAAAATATCTACAGCGTCAGGAAGTATTGTGTGCAGTGCATGGACCTCTCTGCACTGACATGAGCGTCGCTTGCCTTGAAGAGGGCCGGGGAGCAGCTCTTTCCAAGGGTGGGGTAGGTGTCGTATCCAGGGCTTGGGTCAAGGGAGCCAAAGGAATTTCTACCTTTCCAAAATTGTCTATCCATTTTTCTTCCATCCGAGGAATCCTCAACACCCCGCCCCCGAAAGCTGTGGCCCCTTTTTTTTCGACTGGTAAGGTGGGAATGGTTGCAACTCGGGGGTCACTCCTCTCTGGAACCCCGCTGGACACTCCAAAAGAGGCTGGGTGGGTATGAACTCATCAGCATCAACATGACAAACCATCGGCAGTGAAAGGGGTCCAAACCGTGGAAAAGTATTTTCAAGCAGATTGTTGACTTTCATTCCCTGAAAATCCCTCTTCGTGACATCCATGCTCAACCGCGCTCAACACGCGATCGACTGCTGAAAGTAGAGACGAATTTCCAACTAGCATTCACAGTCATGACAGATTGTCCCTGCGTGTAGATTTCAGGAAACGTCTTGGTATGGCATGGCATGGCATGGCAGATTGCAGATGCCATGGCATGGCTTAGTTTTAGTGTCATAGCACAAAGATAACAAGCTGGAAATATTTAAAGAGAAGTAGAAACGATAGGAGGGATCCAGAGTTTTATGCTTGTATCAGACCCGGAACACGGTAATTACAGCTGAAGTTAGTGTGTGCAAACATGCATCAGGCTGAATTATATCAAGTAAAAAGAAATCGAAATTGAAAATAAATTACCAACAAATATTGATTCCTTTCTAAAAATAAACATGTTTTACTTCCACGAATTGCAAGCGCAATTGTAAATGGGCGTAATTTATTCTCTTCCCTTCAGCATGGAACGGCATGTTTCTCGTCCGGATTGACTGCCGCTATTAAAACTGGATTTGAGGCATCAATCTTTACACCGCCATTAGATGTAAGGAATTTAGCTAACCACCGGCGCTTCGTCCATGCAAGGATCTTGTTGATTCCTCCATTAAGCCGAGGGAAACTGCCTCTCAGTTTTGATCACATCATGGAGGAATGTACACAGGAACTCGAGTCGCCTCCTCCATCACGATGAGCCGATGATCGGGCGTTGGCTGCATTCTCGCTCGATGTTGGAAATTTGCCGAATCGTGACAGATGTCACGCACTGGTTTGCGAATCAGAGATAGTAATTTCGCAACGGAGGGACAGGGTCACGGTTTCTACATTAGGGGTGGTCAGTCTTCTCACAATGGAATTATAATTGTAGTCTCTAACTTCCTAGTCCACGCGGGATTAAGATCGGGCTCCCCATGGTGACTAGCCAAACAGCGATAACGTGTTGGACAGGATAATGATGACGGACCCGACAACCCTCTTGGGAAGGGAAGGTATGGCGGGCCGTCTGCACAAACACAAAAGAATAAATTCGTAAAGGGTTTAACATTTCACGCAGGTATTAAAATGCCGAATGAATATTACCAGAAAATACCGATTCAAAACACGGCCCGCATTGAGAGGGAAATGCAGTTTGTAGAGTTTGCAACGCGTGGACCAATCACATTACCGAAAATCTGTCGACCCAATGCGCGTTTGGAAAGAGTCGACAGATTTTGCGCTTTGTGATTGGTCAACGTGTTGCAAACTCTTGGAGGCGCACCACTGTGAAACTCCTCGCGTTATTAAATGTTAAAAGTTACAACGGTACAGCCACCTTGAGGGAAACTGCCTGTAGATTTCAGTCGAATTTTCATTTATTTACTCACACGAAAATTGCTGTCGGTGAAGAAAAATCACGGTGAATTTAATACCTTGTCGTCTTGTTTCTTTTGCTATTTTTGTAGTCATTAATGTTAGGGATAATAGTGTTATAACAACTGAATAATAAAAAAATAGTTATTAATGTTAGGGATAATAGTGTTATAACAACTGAATAATAAAAAATAGTTCTAGAAACGCAACAAAACATTTGCTAGGACAAAAGGGCAGAATAAAAAGTTTGTAAAAAGTGAAGAAATGAGATTTTTTTTCTCACAAAGAAATTATCCGGGTTTAGACTTAATGAATATTACCAGCCATACTTTCAACCGCACGCATCAATGTAACTTCATTATGATTGCCTTGCTTTTGCTTAGAAAATATACATGTATATGGTGTGTTTTTTTTTCAAATTATTTTTTAAATTCTCCGTTCCATTATTTGACGAACAGGCTTTCGAGTCATAGTGTATGCTGGTCTACGTTTGCTCCCCCCGGCCGTCTTAGAATGGATACCCCTCCCCTTTTCACCTGCCCTGAACATGTTATATCTAGTGACCCCCCAACCTATCGTCTTTGTCCTGTCGTTAAGTGTTGTCCTGTCCTTTCATTGGCCGAATAAATAATGATAAATAATAGTACACCCGCGATTGTCAACGATATTGTAGCGTTGGCCGCTTGTACTTTTTTCAGGTTCTACGTCTGAGGAACTCTTTTTTTTTTAATATTCACCCCAAAATATTGAAAAGGCGTTTTTTATCTGTCAGAGCTGGCATTTCTGTAATCCAGCTTATTAAAAAAACATGGTTGGCCCCAGTCAGCCGCATTTTGTACAGAGAGATTTGAGTGTGCATGGAGTTAGGTACCGGCTGTCGTTTTTTTTTCGACTTTCAGTCCCCAAATTGCAACAAAATTCTTTGTTGGGCTTATTTTGCCACGTTTCGGCAGTAAAATTTGAACTAACAGGCTGATTTTGAATCGAACTAGCTTGGTGTTAAGAAATCAACCTCTTTGTAACGCTGACGTATCCGCCAAACTGGCAGAGAGTGTGACTTTTATTCCGGTTTAAAGTCCGAGAGCTTGTTGGTTACAAAAAGAATCAGGGAAAGTATTTGGTAATTTCCTGTAAAAAAACAATGATTTTATAAATCGCTTCATTGTTGAAAACTAACGGCAACTCGTTATGTTAAAGGTCGGTTCTTAGATCGCGCGAAAGCGGATACTAACATGATTTTGTAAGTCAGGTCAAATATCCGCAACGTAACGAACGCAACTAGTCGGGCGGAGTTCACTGCAAACGTTCCGTGACGTCGAATTCTCGTCGCTTTTGTGTCCGGGTGAAGAACTGCCTTTTTTTAAAAGAGTGGTGGTAGTTATAGAAGTCAGTTTTGTTGCTGGATTCTTTGCAGAATAGCTCTAAAGTTAAGTTTCTTTCAGTTTCCCCAATAATTGTATAGTTAAGACAAAGTCTTTATATCAAACTGTACCGCAGCTTTGAAGAAAAATTGCAACACACAGTGGCAATCCTCTGTGATAGTAGGCTACGAAAGCCACATTCATGGCCAAAAATGACAAACTTCGTTCAGCCTTTTTAATCTCAACTCACCTGTTCGCATCTTCCCAATGACAATAATGACCAAGGTATTCCCCAAGGAACCGAGGACGATTATCAGCACGGCCAAGGCGACCAGGATCCCCTGGACGCAGGGCCCAAAGTGCGGCTCGGCAACTGGTTCCGGCTCCCCCTCACTCGACGCGTTCCACCCCCACTCGGGGAACGGCTCGCTCATCACCAGGGAAGAGTTCCCCCACGGTCCGCCGATACCAGGCTCCGGTTCGGGTTCGGGTGACGGCTCGGGTTCAGGCAGACTCATTTCTACGGCCCCGTTCCCAGTACTGTGTGCTGATCAAATTGGCTATTTGTACGGACCAGGCTGTACCTCTACCGATTCGATATGCGCTCTGTAGTGATTCTCCCGTGTGCTGTTATTTATTATGCATCATTTCCACCGCTGCAGAGTGACAGGTGCATTATGGGTATTTTTAGTCTTGTTCAATCCATGACGTCATCATTTCGGGAAGCACACCAGAGGGCACAATGTCAAACAGCGAGTGATATGGCTTCAATTCTCCACGTATCGACCGTAATGAGTTCTTAGATGACAGAAACTATAGCGTGCAACGGTTGAAGTGTAGCTCAAATTTCAGCGTTTACTCTGAACGTGTTCGTCTCCCGGCCGGGGCTGAGGTCGCGGCTCGAATCGATTCCCTTTCAGCTCGATTATTCGGTTGGGCCAGTATTTGTGTTAGTTGCATCGTTGTCTGGAAACAGTGAAACATTACGCGCTCGTGGCTCAAAAATGTCAAGCCAGTTGTGTTTACCAATAGCTTAACTCAAAAAGTGTGTTGATGTGCAGAGAACAAAACCTAGTAGTACGACGTGATATGTAGTCATCTGCATGTTTCACCCCCAACACTTGCTCATCACTTGTCGTTTATTTATCTTTGTTTAGCGAGTTCGCCAGTGTATATTTTCAATTATTTCCTTTCAGTTTCTGTTCCGCATTCAGTAAACTGGCAGGTTGTTCACAGCTGATTGTGCCGGGTCTATCTGGCTCTCAAAAATAATTGAAAATTATGAAAATGAATGATTTCACAACATGACCTGATAACATGAATGCACAAAACGACCCCAGTTTCAACGGGCAAAACAAGCATAACCTGACAGCATATGGCCTGACAGCATGATAGCACAACATGAGCCAGTTTCAACGGGCGCAGTGGTCAATACGCATCATGCATTCTCGTAACAACATCAACGTATGGTTTGTTTCCATATGACTGCGGCATGTTTTCAGGAAACGTGTTCACGCCGCCCGTTCCAATTACCACGGAGGCTCGACAAAGACTGTCAATTTAGCGGTCGAATCCGTCTCTGCTTCGACTCCCAACACTCAAAAATGTTGAAAAAACAATCCTCTTTTCAGCGTGGGACGCAGTGCTTTTAAAAATCTTCAAAAGCATCAACTGCGCATGAAGTTTCCCGCAATCTTAGTTGGCCTTGCGGTTGACCAGAAAGCCTCGAATCCCTCACTGGATTCACCTACTATCTGCCCGACTTTCCGCATAACCCATCCGTGTTGTCCGATATTTGATTACAGAATGGATGGGATTATCGGTGCAAGAGCCATTTTCTTCTTTTTAAACCCTCAGGAAGGTTATCCAAGACGGGGAGAACGTGGAACACAAGGCCTGCAAAGCTCATCGGTGTGTGACGTCCCCTTCGCATCACCGCCCTACCCCTCCCACCGTGACGTCTGTCTGCGCCTGTTTGGATTATGAATTTTCTACTCAATGCAATAGAGTGTGCCTGAAATTGTGACCATTATGCAAAAGCGCGTTCTCTCCCCGGGCCCAAAATCTAGAAACAGTTTTTAGAATTACGGAAAATGTGGTAGGCTCTAGGGCCTGTTTATTTCACACTGATACGAATCTCACTTGTTATCACTGACAACGGAACCCGCCTGGTGGATGGAGCAGACCAGCGTTGATCGAGATCCAAGATCCGTGTGCAGCAAACATAACCCTGAAACGGGACACCGAAGGCAAATTGTTGGCAGCATCGCTCATACCAATGCAATTATAGACACTTTCGGCACTCAATCACCACTGACCGTTACCTCGCAATTTGGTTAAGAGAACCTAATTCAATTGGCCGTGGACTTCGGAGAAGAAAAAAAAATGAGAAGGGAGAAAGAAAGCACCACGTATGATCGCCATGGTCGAATTGCGCTAATTAATTTACCGTAAAAGCACCGACAAAACACTCGTCGACAACCTTAATCGACCAAAGATTGAATTTTCAAAACCCGTATTCCGATAACAATTTGCCAGTTACAGACTAGTTGTGTGTATATTCAGAAGTGTGTAGCGTGCCATAAGAATTGAGAGGTGGAAAATCAGAAAAAGACATGGACAGATGTTGGAAATATCGAAACATTCTGAGTTTGTCCTTATGTTGACGCAAAAGTCTAAATCATCATTCCGGTGGATGAGTTATTCTCCATTCCACTGAACACCGCTGTGAGCTAAAATAACCACAGACGCTTTATACGTTTTTTTTTACATTTTTTTGGTTTGTTGATAACATTTTAGCGTTAATTTATAGTATTATTATATATATTGTTTATGGTACATCTACCACACGTAGGCCTAGCAATTGTGGATCATTTGCTAGTACTTTACAATCCACGCAAATTGTCTTCGATAAGGTTACCCTGGCTGGATGCTTACCACATTTCAAGGACGCAGGAAAAACCCGACCATCTGAAATTCCGGTGGATGAGTTATTCTCCATTCCACTGAACACCGCTGTGAGCTAAAATAACCACAGACGCTATGTACGTTTTTTTTTTTACATTTTTTTGGTTTGTTGATAACATTTCAGCGTTAATTTATAGTATTATAATATATATTGTTTTACATCTACCATACGTAGGCCTAGTAATTGTGGATCATTTTCTAGTACTTTACAATCCACGCAAATTGTCTTCGATAAGGTTACCCTGGCTGGATGCTTACCACATTTCAAGGACGCAGGAAAAACCCGACCATCTGAAATTGTATTACTAGACTTGCTTAGCTGCTTGGGTGCATGTGACCCATATTTCAAGCATGAAACGCTAAGTCGGCTGTACGCAACAGAACGAATAAACACAATGCCGACCATCAGTCAGTTGCTTCTTGATCGAAAGAGCGTAAGTAAATTGCTATTGGCGGCTGTGGCGTAGGGAGGAAAAGGCCTCTTTTGTTTCGTCGGTTGCCATCCATGATTATCGCATGAGTTCAGAAATGGATGCGCTTAATTGGCCGTCACTTTGAAGATACGCACTGCTTAATGAGGGCAGGCTCGGTTCTCGCAAAAGACCCACGTCGCCTGACCTGTTTCGTCGATGTGGGTTTTTTAAATTGGATCTTGTTATTGCGGAGCCTATCTCTTGGGATCTATGAACGAAAAAAATCCTTAACCCTCTGGCAAATATGAGAAATGCCAAAGATAGGATAATTTTTTTTACTTGTTCGTCAAAAATCTGCCGAATCTTTACTTGATCGGAAAATGACGACAGCCTTCATTCAGACCCGAATTGACATACAGAAGGCTGGAAATGTGGATTTAATAATTATTTAATTCTGCCACAAAGGGAATTCTTACTCCGTCAGTGAGATTTGATCAATTTCAAGATCGGCTGCATGAAATGCATGTAATACTCCTTTTTTTAACCGTGCTCTCCTATAAGTTGGTGTCTGATGTAACCCAGTGACTACAGTTTCCAATGAATCAGTTAATGCGTCTTCACTGTCATTTTGCCCGGGCCTGCAATAACCTGTCGTGTAAGTTAACGTAGTTAGCTCGTGTAGGCCTAATAAATTATGCTTGAGCCGGCCATCATGAATGTTTCATTAGTGTGTGCACAAGGTGCGCTTCAGCATCGTAAACAAGGACAAATGCATTTTGCCGTCCACGTAACGCGGACTACATGATATGACGTACCTTTCAGAGTCGTTTTCTTCCATCTAACAGTAACATTTTTGCGGATTCCACCCCAAAGAACTCGGTTGTCGAACGCCCAATCATTTTGAAACTTAGCATGACACTCGTTATGGTAGGTAAGTGAAGTATCAATTCGATACAAGAAATAGTTTTTGATTTTTTGGTTATATAAATTTCGTGTGTGAAATTCAAATGACCATAAAATGTACTGAGCATCGTCAATGGACCTGTCTCAAAAATGCATTTTGCACGAAAACAGCATCATCCGATTTTCAAAAAACTGGTGTCGAAATAAATGCAAGGAAGTACTAAAAGAAAAACAAAATTCCTAAAGGCTTGGTTCGTGAAAATGTCGTATTTCTGCAATAAGAGACCTAACAAGCCGTTTTGCAACACGTGGAGCAGGCCTACAGACATTTATATTATTTAAATATCTAAAACATTTGTTACCGATGTTTCTGAGTCCGACGGAAGGTCTTCCGACACAATCGATTCTTTACATTGACGAAACCTTTGCATGATATTGATGTTTTTACTGCGCGTGCAAAATTTATGCTCATATGATCCACTTTCATCTTATGGTTTTACGGAGTAAAAACTGTTTGAGTTTGATCACCAATCTTCGTTCATGGTACGGTAATTGTACAAAGTATCCGTGTGAATAAATTAAAACTCATATTTTACTGTCTACAAGACCAAAAAAATCTCAATTTCAGGAATAACCACACAAAACGTAACAATAAAACTGCACGGTAAAGCTGCCGTGTATAGGCATACTTTTATAGCACCAATTACAGCGTTTTAGACTGAAATAAACAACGATACCTCCACAAAATTTCATTAAAACTCAAACCAAACCTGCTGCAGGGACAGCCACCAAACACAACGAAATTGAATAAAAATAATAACTCCCGCCAAAACGACAGCCTGCAGCACTCACGACATCGACGTCAGCAACAACAGAAATGAGATTAATTAAATTGTTAATGTGTTACTTCGGGCGTGAGCCGTGGTGAGGTCGGCGGACTTACCCGCTCTACCAAATCGCTCGGTCCTCACACCAAAAAATCTTTCGTGCGTTCAGCGGGCACAGAATTGCGTCCGGGATACAGAACTGCAAATGATCGGACGGGATGGTACCCGTCCCACAGAAAAAAAGGGGTTTTCATAATTACCCTGCTAATGTCCATCATCGAAACCGAAGATTGCCATCGCAACAAATAAACGCCGAGATTCTAGACCAGCTATCCTTTATGTCGCCAGGATACCGAGGCATTCGCTTGCACGCCAAACTGATTACCATAGGTTCCAAGCAAAGGATGAGAACTATTGGCAAAGAAAATACCAAATTAACGGGATTTGCAGCGTCTTCTCAGCGAACTAGCCTTTACGATCGACCATTCTGCCAACCACTCTTTTTGTTTAGCATCAGTTGATGTCATTGGCGTAAATTCCGGGGGGATTAGGGGTACATATCCTCTTCGCGTTTTGACCGGAAGGGCCTCCACGGCCGTTCTGACGCAAGGTTCTGCAGGAATGTAATACATATTACAGAGCTACATCTGTATTATGAGAATCCCCTTGAATAGTGTAATATGGTGTCACCCTCC